ATGAGCCTCAAACCATTCTCTCTCAGTGACACCATTAGGTGACTGACAGTTGCAGTTGTTCTTGTAATTGTGAAGGGTCTTCTTTGCATATCCCATTAGGTTCTTGAGGTAGTAATGGGCATTATAGAACAGGTTGTCGCAGGTGATGTCAGCAGGTTGAATGAGAGCTGGGATGCTGCAGTCAGAGCTGCAGTTGCATGCTTTGTCTTGCAGAACATTGAGGTAGCTCTGCTCAACAGCATCAAGGAGTGTCTGTGTAGTTGAGAGAAGAAGGAGGTCGCTTTCATCCGATACAGTGCTCTTGATTGTTGCCAAATAGTTATTGAAGGAAGTGAATAAATTGTACCAGCCTGCAATGTGAGATAGAGTGATGTCTGGGGATGCAGTCTGCATGATTTCTATTAAGAAAGACCTGTAATTGAGTGGTAGAGTGCAGAGTTCTGTCCTCCTTGGTACTTGTCCGAGATATTTGTCCAAAACGTAATGGGCAGATTGTATACCTTGCAAATCTGTGTCGGTGGTTGCTGAAAGGGTGCAGTCAATGCTAGTGATTATAGTTGAATTATTAGTGTCGTTTGAGCTAGAGTTAGTACTGCTGTCTTGTGATGTGACTGGTAGCGACAGAGTGCCTTGCAAGAGGAATAAGATTGAAAAGAGTACTAGAGCAATGGTGTTTAGTAGTGAAGACATTTTATGGTGATTTATCTTGATTGCAGTCAGTGATGTCTTTGTAAATTTAAAACTTGTTGAGTTGTTACTAGGTGTTTTGCTTGCTTGGCTGAGTGATGATGGTCCTCTCACTTTTTCTCTCCATTTATATCAAACCTCTGCCTCAGTATCTATGTGTAGTCCACACTTGCTTCCTTGTCCATTTCCAAGGATTCTTCGGAAGTGGCAAAGACTATGTCAACTGGCCGCACTTGTCATCCATTTAGTATTTAAATGGTCTCCGATGAAAGTTTGCTCCCTGCTGGGGAAACTATGGCCGGTTCGGGGCTTGTAAGTGTCGCTCTAACATCCATAGTTAAAGGTTCAAGACATTTGAGAAGCATCTTGATGACGTGAAGAGATTGGTGATCATGAAGATGGCGTTTGAAAGAGAGAGAGAGAAGAGCCTTTCCAGAAGAGTGCTAGCCATGGCTCAATGTGGAGTCTTCTCAGTTCCTACGAACTACAAGGACAACAACATAGATATTACAGCAGACATGCTGTTCGCTACAGTGAGTTGGATTGGGCCTAGACCAAGGATACTATCTATGCCCAGACCAACCATTTCCCGTGAGTCAATAGATCTTTAATTAGTTTTTAGTTTTAAAGTTTAATGTGTTCCCCAACAGTGACCTCGAAACAGAAAAGCCCACTCCAAAAATACTCCATGATTGTGTTTCTTTTCTGGCTGTACCTGGAAAAGGGGATTACCCTCAAATCGAGCCTGTCATGTAAAATGTATGCAGAGTTTTGCATAACAGTGCAGTGGCTAATGATCCGTGGACACTGTCAAATAAAGTATTGACTATTTGGTTGCTATGATCACATACTGTGTATAGGTTTGGTTCTTCTCATTCCCATAATTCCAGTAAACATCTTGTTTACTGAAATTATGGGAATGAGATGAGACCATCAAAATGTCCCAAAAGAACAAAGGAAAATCAACAAATTGTGTGGCTCAAGTCAGTATATAAGAAGCTGAAACAAAGCACAGAGATTCACAAAAGAAAAGAGACAACAATTACCTTTGTTTTTATTTCAAAGCATTATTTTTCGAGCTCAGTAGTTCACCATGCTTGCAAAAGCTGTTATACTTTTGCTGTGTATTCTTGGAGTCCTCTCTTCTCCTCTTCCTCAAGGAAACACTCAAGGACTGCCAAACACTCAGTGTTCAATGGAGGAACAACCAACCCTTGGAGGAATGAAGTCCGTCTCTTGTTTGCTGGAGTCAGTTGTAATGGAGCCTTTGAAGAATCCTGCTATACAGAGCTTTGATTTATTTCGCCAGAATATAAACTCAGTGGAGGCACATGAGGCTTTCTTGCAAACACTCCAGAATTGTGTAAGCTAAAAATAATAATTATAGTTTTGATTTTACTATGCATGTAGTGTAATGTTAATGATAATTTTATTGCATGATTTTTGGTGGCTAGCATTATTGCCAATCATTGTTTGTCTTTCTACACGTTATAATAGCAATTAAACATTAATTATTAATAATTGTTTATTTATTTTCATTAAATGCATGCAAACATTTTCACAAATTTTCTCTCTTTCTCTCTCTCTCTCTCACACACACACCCAATAATAGAATTGTAATGTTCCGCCTCAATACACAAATGAGTATCATTCCAGCCCGGTATACAGCACAGGGCCTCATGTTACAGTCAGGCAGCTCTACGATACAAGGATAGATCCATCCACCATTTCGTTTCAAGAGCGCCAATATCTTCCGGAGTCCATCGTCAATGGCAATGAAGCTGCACCCCTAACGACGGAGTGGTTGCTAAGCGACCACATAAATTCGTTGGAAGGGTTTGTGAGTTATTTTTCTCAGCATGAGGGCGACAGTGAGTGGAGCAATCTTGTTGAAATTGCAGTGACATTAAATAACTCTGTGCTACCTCTGATCAACTTTAACGTAAGAAAAAGAATGACAGAATGCAATAGAAATAGATATTAATATTTTATGCTTTATTTTATACGTTCATTTATGAAGCAGCAAATTATTTATTTTTAAAAATATTTTTATAGTTTTCGTCACAGTGTCCTCAAGATAAACGTGTCCCCAATTTCTCCGGCTTTCCCTCCACAAGTTGCGAGCTCGGATGCGCCACCTGGCATTTTAACTGGACCGTTCAAGGCCTTTACTATGCTCTCGGGAATCAAGTGATATATCCCCCAGCCTCTCCCATTCCTCAGTCTCAGAATGATGCTTATCCTGAATTGGAGGCGTGGGATGGCATGGATTGTTGTGATGCTACTCCGTTGCATTCGATGAGTGTTTATGATATGAGGAATTTGAGTTGTGCTGTTGAGCTTGTTGGACTTGAGGCGTATGAGATGTTTAAGCTATTGGGAGTAGAGGTAATGTAATAATAATAATAATAATAATAATAATAATAATAATGATGATAATAATAATAATAATGATGATGATAAGTAAAAATTGATTTTCTCTTTTCCTTTTGATCTCAACGATGATAAAATAAATAAATAAATAAATAAATAATAATTGCTGATCATCAGCTGTTTATTTATGATTTTAGTCAAAACAACGAACATTCCTTATTCCTAGAAATGCCTTTTTGTTGATTGTTACTTTTTTCAACATTTTTTAACTTAATACATATACATTGTTAATTTTAAAGTTGTTTTTCTTCATATAACAGGCAACTACCCAGTGCTTGAACGTTGCCACGGTAACCGGCATCAAGACATGGACCGACTATGTACCAGAGAACAAGTTCCCTCCTCTTAGCTGGTCCAAGACGGCTAACCTTTACATATATGGTAATCATTTTGACGCCTTTACAAAGCAGGCAGCTGATATTAAGAAGCTTCTCTCTTCTCCTGACATTCAATGCTATTCGTCAACATTTCAAGGACAACTGCAAAAAATTGGAGAATTATTTGACGCTATTATATTACCATCATCAGCCCATTGGGTAAGTGTAACATTTATTAATATTTATTTAATAATTAATTATTATCTTTTTCTCCCACTCTCTGTCTCTCTTAGTTGTTATCTCATAACTGTCCATCATGTTCTACATGTAGCAGTCAGAGTGCCATGCCTCCTAATCCCACGCCCATAACGGGTAACTCGGCCTGTCCTGAGAGTCGTAGAGAGGTCTCCTGCCTTGCACTCGACGTCCATAAAATAGCAGAGAGTGCTTATATGTATTTAAACATGAGGGTGGAGTCAAAAAGTGGGTGGAGCACTTCCTGCTCTGGGATTTGGAATGACTTTTGAACTACATTAACGGGCACTTTGCTGCTGATAATTTAACTAAAAATCTCTTAATATACATTATTAATTTTTTACACGATTTATCACTTAATTTTTTTGCTTTAAGTTTTATTTTTTTGCTTTTTTTGAGAGTTTTTAGGCAAATAATAATTATTTTATTATTTTTCCCTTTTGTGTGGGCTATCTCTAGCTACCATTTTTTAACGTGGTGATCACTAAGGAATGCAATTGAACTTTTTAATAATTGCACTAAAGGTCATTTGTGTCATACCTCCTCTGATCAAATTTAATGGCAATGCATGTATTACTACGCCCACGCGGAAGTTTCCAATCCCTTTTATTTACCAGACATAGCACATCTACTCAAATTCTATCTACTCTGTATCTACTTGTATTTTATTTTTTAAACCGGTATTACTTGTATTTACTTTGTCAGTAGATATGTATTTTTGTCTACTAAAAATGTGTCATTTATTGCAAAAAACATTGCATGATATTTTTCATTGCAGTGTTTCATCATTCATGATACAAGCCATGTGGGCTTTGAAATTTCTTACAAAAGAATGTGCTTTGGGGAAAAGAAAGAATGCACAATGGCTACCTGCCTCATTAAGCTATTCTAGCACTAAAATAGAGAAGAAAAAGCATTAGAAAACAGTCCTTTGAGCCTTTCTGATCATTATTCTAGTATGGTTGTAATACTTGAAAATATATGAAAATAAATGACAATATCCTAAGCTGCTCTCCACTATCTACTTGAGCCAGAAAATTGTGTAAATATTCATGTATCCTGTATACATGTGCAACGCCTGTTATTTGTTCTATTATTTATGGATGCAATCATGAATTCATGAATCATATCTGCAATTAAAATCATGAATAATTATTGTAAAAACATTGTTCCGGGAAATGCAATTCAACTGCAGCAAATTTTAAGCTGTGAATCTATTTGTAAAATGCAGTGTGTCAAGGCTATGACAATAAAAAAGCAAAAGGTTGCACTTTGTGATAAAAATTATCATTGTTTTATTTCAAAGCATTGCTTCGAGCTCAGTGGTTCACCATGCTTGCAAAAGCTGTTATACTTTTGCTATGTATTCTTGGAGTCCTCTCTTCTCTGCCTCAGGAAAACACCCAAGGACTCCCAAACACTCAGTGCTCAATGGAGGAACAACCAACCCTTGGAGGAATGAAGTCCGTCTCTTGTTTGTTGGAGTCAGTTGTAATGGAGCCTTTGAAGAATCCTGCTATAGAGAGCTTCGATTTATTTCGTCAGAATATAAACTCACCAGAAGCACTGGGAGCTTTCATGCAAACACTCCAGCATTGTGTAAGCTAAAATTAATAGTTATAATTCAGTTTTACTGTGTATGTAGTGTATAATTACTGATAATTTTTTAATTGCATGATTTTTGGAACTGCTAACATTATTATCAATCATTGTTTGTCTTCCTGCACATTATAATAGCAATTCTACCATGCCTAGTTGTAATTGACCTATCAGATTGCTTGGTTGTAGGTTCATAAATAACTAACTTACCTCTGATTTCCTTAACTTAACTCTGTGTCGGTTTAACTTAACTCTGTGTCGGTATCTATGGCCTTATGATACCTCGGGCCTATGGCCCTCGGTATGATAAATGCCATAGATACCTCCACCTCGTTGTATAACCTTTACTTAAATATTAATTATTATTAATATTTTTTATTTATTTTCATTAAATGTATACAAACATTTTTACACACACACACCCAATAATAGAATTGTCTTGTTCCACCTCAAAACACGAGTGAGTATCACGCCGACCCAGTATACAACACTGGCCCTCATGTTACAGTCAGACAGCTCTACGATACAAGGATAAATCCATCCACCATTGTGTTTCAAGAGCGCCAATATCTTCCGGAGCCTATTGTCAATGGCAACATGACTGCATCCCTAACGACAGAGTGGTTGCTAAGTGACCATATAAATTCATTGGAGGGTTTCGTGAGTTATTTTTCTCAGCATGAGGGTGACAGTGAGTGGAGCAATCTTGTTGAAATCGCAGTGACATTAAATAACTCTGTGCTATCTCTGATCAACTTTAACGTAAGAGAAAGAATGATAGAATGCAATAGAAATAGATATTAATATTTTATGTTTTATTTTATGCATTCATTTATGAAGCAGCAAATTATTTATTTTTAAAAAAATATTTTTTATAGTTTTCGTCACAGTGTCCTCAAGACAAGCGTGTTCCCAATTTCTCTGGTTTCCCCTCCACAAGTTGCGAGCTCAGATGCGCTGCCTGGCATTTTAACTGGACCGTTCAAGGGCTTTACTATGCTCTCGGGAACCAAGTGATATATCCCCCAGCTTCTCCCATCCCTCAGTCTCAGAATGATGCTTATCCTGAATTGGAGGCATGGGTGGGCATGGATTGTTGTGATGCTACTCCGTTGCATTCGATGAGTGTTTATGATATGAGGAATTTGAGTTGTGCTGTTGAGCTTGTTGGACTTAAGGCGTATGAGATGTTTAAGCTATTGGGAGCAGAGGTAATGTAATAATAATAATAATAATAATAATAATAATAATAATAATAATAATAATAATGATAATAATAATAATAATGATGATAATAATAATAATAATAATAATAATAATAATAATAATAATAATAATAATAATGATAATAATAATAATGATGATGATGGTGATGATGATGATGATAATAATAATAATAATAATGATAATAATAATAATAATAATGATAAGTAAAAATTGATTTCCCTTTTCATTTTGATCTCAACGATGATAAAATAAATAAATAAATAATTGCTGATCATCAGCTGTTTATTTATGATTTTAGTCAAAACAACGAACATTCCTTATTCCTAGAAATGCCTTTTTGTTGATTGTTACCTTTTTAACATTCTTTAGCTTCATATGTATACATTGTTTTTTGTTGTGCAGAAAGTTTGAGCTCATTCCAATCAAATTTCACCAAAAATTAAAAGTAGAGAATTCTCCATTTTTATAATTTTTCCTGATGCATATACAAGTTTTTATGTTGTGTTTTAAGTTTGAACAGATTCCCATCAAAATTAGATTTTTTACAAATTTTTAAAGTTGCTCCAAAATCGAGCCAAAGTCCCTGTACTATAGTACACGGTCTGGGGCCAAATTTCACCAAAATTAAAAATAGAGAATTTTCCATTTTTATAATTTTTTCTGTTACATATGCATGTACTTATGTTGTGTACAAATTTTAAGCTAATTCCGATCAAAATTAAATTTTTTATAAAATTTTAAAGTTGTTTTTCTTCATACAACAGGCAACTACCCAATGCTCCAATGTTGCCACGGTAACCGGCATCAAGACGTGGACCGACTATGTACCAGAAAACAAGTTCCCTCCTCTTAGCTGGTCCAAGACCGCTAACCTTTACATATATGGTAATCATTTTGAAACCTTTTCAAAGCAGGCAGCTGATATTAAGAAGCTTCTCTCTTCTCCTGACATTCAATGCTATTCGTCAACATTTCAAGAACAACTTCAAAAAATTGGAGAATTATTTGATGCTAATATACTACCATCAGCTGCCCATTGGGTAAGTATAACATATTTATTAAAATTTATTTGATAATTAAATATTATCTTTTTCTCCCACTCTCTGTCTCTCTTAGTTGTTATCTCATAACTGTCCATCATGTTCTACATGTAGCAGTCAGAGTGCCACACCTCCTAATCTCACGCCCATAACTGGCAACTCCGCCTGTCCTGAGAGTCGTAGAGAGGTCTCCTGCCTTGCACTTGACGTCTATAAAATAGCGGAAAGTGCTTACATGTACTTGAACATGAGGGCAGAGTCAAAAAGTGGGTGGAGCACTTCCTGCTCTGGGATTTGGAAAGACTTTTGAACTGCATTAACAGGCACTTTGCTACTTATAATTAAACTAAAAATCGCTTAATATACATTATTAATTTTTTACATGATTTATCACTTAATTTTTTGCTTTAAGTTTTATTTTTTGCTGCTTTTTTGAGAGTGCTTACTACTTAGGCAAATAATATTATTTTTATTTTTTCCCTTTTTTGTAATCAAATTACATCACTTTAAATACACTATTAAAAAGGACATTCACCACAAACCTTATAAGATGAGGGTGAGTACAATAATGTACCCTGAAATGAGGATACTTCTATATTAGTAGACCAAAGAATAAAGGGATTAATATATTAACACTAGTAAGTATGATTTAGGTAGTTTAATACTATAGGAAGCTAGTTCTTTGTCTAGACCTAGTGCCGGATTGATCATTCACTGGTCTAGTGTTTGCAAACATACTTTGCATATCATTATACCTTTACGACATAATTCTATTTGTCCTGTCTATGAGTACACATGTTATGCATGCAAAGAAGTTGTAGCAACTGTTGTAGCTGCCAAAAAGACACTAACTATATACACATGGACACGGGCCATTGTACTCTCCATTGTAGCATGGTTCATGTCACACATGGGCCATTGCACTCTTCGGTCTAGCATGGTGCGTGTCAGGTAGTTTTTGACTAAGGAAGTGAAACTATAGTTTACATCCTGTTTATAGCTATACTTACTGTACCAGGAATAATCTATAAAAAATGCATGTTAATGTATGGGGGGGCACTACTGCAGGTTTACATGAGCTATCATGGTTGTCAGAAGAATTTATTTCTTATTACCAGAGCAATGGCAAAATTATAAGATTTGGCTTTGATGCAATTAAAAGCAGACCATTATTTTTCAGTCTTAACCTTATTGGATCTACTATAGCAGAATATTATTTTGCTTTATTGCATTATTGCATCATAGTCATTTGCTGAATATAGTGGCTTGTGGGATGTAGACTACAACTTTTAAATCATAATATTGTGTAATAAAATAAATTGGGGAAGGATAGAAAGTGAATAAAGTTAGTATTGGGTGAATTATAAAAGTGATAAAGAATGGTTTTAATAATGGCTAATAACAGAAAACAAAAATAATAAATTAAACATGTTCACTGGCAAGTTATAACATCTGGTTTTGAGCGGCTGGCGTCTTTACAATCACAGTTAGCTTCATTTCCTAATAGTACACATACACTGTCACAGTTGCCATCATCACATTCAATAGTAAAGCTTCCACCAGTTGGTGTTTTTGAATTATCTTCAAAAACATCAAGAAGACCTTTTGTAGCGTTAAATGCTTCAAGAAAGGTGCAAATCTCTGTCACATCAATGGAGCTTATATCTGTGCAATCATAGTCATTTATTGTTTCTTGAAGCTAGAAAGAAATGAATATGATTACTGACTGATAAATAATTGTTTTGCTAGTAATTAAAGTGCTTAACAAGCTGGTTGTTCTCACTTTTAAGTGTGAACAAAAGTTGCAAGCAACTACATGTATTTGTGATTTTAAATGTAGCTGCACTTACCCATTTGCAGCTGTCATTGTAGGTTGCATTCAGTACGATGTGCATGGCTTTAGTAACATTGCTGGTATCATTTGCAGTCACTTCTCTGTATTCATCAATTGACTGATAAAATGTGCACAGATCAGATATGACTTTGCGGTATGCCTCGTCAGGGACACCTCGTCTTGTCATGTTTTCAACCTATTTTTAAAAAGGAGATAGTAATTCCAAATGCATTTCAAAAAGCACACCAATATAATTATTTAATATGAAGCATTGCTAGCATTTATGCAAGGCATTATGAAGCTTACCAGTGAGTTGCTAAGTACTTGTGAGCCTTTTAGTAGTGATTCTGAATGTTGATTGCTAGCAGAAGAGAAACCAAAAAGGATAAAAAGCATAAGGAGAGAAGATGACTGTATGAAAGTGATTGAAGACATCTTTAGCTATAGAGTAGTTAGTGATGAAGGTTGAATGATGCTTGAATAGTTAAACTTTCACTATGAGAAAAGAACTGTGATGTTGAAGTGATCTTAAGCTAGCCTTTTTATACTAGCTCTTGCATTGTAAGTTATCCCTCTTAGTTACCAGTTCCACCATTGAAAACATTTCCTGTAGCTATACAGTACATTATAATAGCAATTACCCAATGATGCATTCCATGCATCCACACAAGCGCGAAGCCATATACAAAGCAGGTCATTTTTACGGGGACTTTTATAGTAACAAGATATGCAATAGTTGCATGTATAGGTACTTCAGGTTTTTAATAATTGCTGTGCTTAGATCATCATTCTGCAGCCCTCCTTGTGTATTTTCTTTGACAATATCCTGCACTGAATCATACAGGAAAGTCAATGAGAAGCTGACAATGTCATTCATGAACACATCATGCTATTCATGTGGTCATGGGGTACCCTTATTATCTAATTGTGGCACGTAACGAGGATTCTTATAAAGAAATATCACTGCATATCCGCACATAGTTTATTAACATGGACTCACTCAGTGGAAATCATGTGATGCTATTGCCCATTCAAACTTATTCAATTTACAAGCAATATACCGGTATTAGTGACATTTCACATCCTCATCTGCTATTACGGTTGAACTGTTATGAATAGGAGTACACGATTAAGACATCAAACTATAATGCAGACACTTCGCTTTAATATTGCGGCTGGAATTCTATGTAATGTAGTGTAAATAGAATTCGTAGTGGATTACATTTTAGCAATAAATACACGAGTTGTAACAATGATCCCAATTTGACTTACATATTGCACAAAACTACTTCTTAATGAGCAGGAAGCATAGCAATAGGAACTGATATCAATGAAACAAATCATGGCAATGCAAAGTAGCTTATTTCATATGCAAGCATGCATGCATGCATGCAGCCTATATTGCATTATGCAATATATTGGTCTATATAAGGAATTGTATATGCATCAGTATTGTGTAATTGAAATCAGAGAGACAAAGTAACTAGTTTTAGAACTTAAGGGAGTGTATAATCTATAGAAAAATGTATCAGTCATGGAAGAAGAGTGCAACTGCAGTCACTATGGTCTTATTTCTAGTAATACAGTGCTGTTGCTATTCTGCAGCTATAGCTACTGGTGAGTTTAAAGAAGAAGTTGAATCAAGCACAGAAGGCATAGTAAGTCATAGAAAAGTATAAGATGGTTCTGTAAACTGTGTTGGTATCATTTCTTTATCATACAGGAAAAGATTATGAATGAAACATACTTCAACAATACCAACATAACTAAATCAGAGGACAGAGGGAAATTTGTTAAGATATTGTATGATCTCTGTTCTTTCTACCAATCCATAAGAGATTACAAGGAGATCACAATCAATGACTCAAGCAAAGTCACTAAAGCTATCAAGATTGTCCTTAACGAGACTTATAATGACAGCTGCAAGTGGGTAAGCAGAGAACAAAGCTTCTAGGGCATAAGAAACACTTGTAAATGACTCTTTTTTTCACAGTTATGTGATAATTTAGGTGATACAAACTTCGACTGCACTGCAATAAATTCAAGAAATGTTACAGAGTTGTGCCTAACAGTAGAAGCTGCAACTACTGCCAATGAGCTAGCAGACGAGTTAGGGGAAGTCATGGAGCCACAGAGAGAAGACATCACTAAAAGCTAAAAAAAGGCGGCAAGACAATTACCAGCACCTGCTATCAACTTAAAAACTACAAACAAACTTTATTATTTACTTTGCTTAATTAATAAACTTTTTCAAAAATAATAAACGGTCAATACATATGTACTGTACATGTCAATGTACACAAAAAGGGTTGAAAATAATGATTGTTGTTATTAAGACTCGTTACCAGCAAAGGGGGAGGGGCTGGGGGTGTGGCCAAGAGAAGAAACTGAAGAGTGCTTCTTGTTTTTGTAATAATCCAAAGACTCTTCTAATTCTGAATAAGAAACACCTTCATTTTTGTTTGCGTCTAAAATTTTAAAGATTTTTAGACTTGGAACTTCTTTACTGAATTCTTCCTCTGACAGTTCACCATCTCCATCAGAATCAAGGGTAGCAAACTGATCTATGAGACCTAAGAGGAGGAGGAGAGAGAGGGGGAAAGGGGAAAAAGAAAGAGAAAAAGAAAGAGGGAGAGGAGGAAAGAGAGAGGAAATGAAACATAAAGAGGAAGAGAGAGAAAGGGGGAAAGAGAGAAAGAGAGAGAGGAAGAAAGAAGGAGAGGAAATGAAACATAAAGAGGAAGAGAGAGAGAGAGAGAGAGAGAGAGAGAGAGAGAGAGAGAGAGAAAGGGGGGAAAGAGAGAAAGAGAGAGAGGAAGAAAGAAGGAGAGGAAATGAAACATAAAGAGGAAGAGAGAGAGAGAGAGAGAGAAAGGGGGGAAAGAGAGAGAGGAAGAAAGAAGGAGAGGAAATGAAACATAAAGAGGAAGAGAGAGAGAGAGAGGGAGATAGGAAGAGAGAGGGGAGAGCAAGGAAAAGAAAAACAAGAGTAGGATAAGGCCAATCAGGCTGGTATGCGAACTACACATACGCATGAAAAAATTACAAAATAGCATGACTATGGCAAACCATTATATCATATTACAAATTAGGAAGAGAGGGAAAGATTCAAAGCAAGAAATACACATGTACTATACACATGCTTTTTTTGAAATGTCAACTATAAAACATTTAATATGATTGTCTTCTACATAAATATTGACTAATAATCATAAATAATTTGTGTGTGTGGGCACAGCAATGATTGCATGACTTCACATGTATAACGTATGTTATGTACAAGTGCATGTAACATGAGAATAACATACATATACTATATATATATATATATATGTATACTGATTGCTCTGATCTGATGTTTGCCATGGGAATGAGGCCAGTGCTGTAATAATGTCACAGATGTAGTAAATATTGTATCACAAAGAGAGAGAGAGGGAGAGGGAGAGAGGGGGAGAGAGAGAGGGGGAGAGAGAGAGAGGGGGGAAAGAGAGAGAGAGGGAGAGAGAGGGAGAGAGAGAGGGGAGAGAAAGAGAGAGAGAGAGAGGGGAAGAGAGGTACTGCACATAAATGTATGAACATGTACATGATTGTGCTCCAATTGAGACCCAGACAAATATAAAGAATGAAGAGACACATACATATACATGTACATGTACATGTATACACACAGTTCAGGTTCTGTTCTAATTTGATTCAAATTGATTCACACTTATACCAAAGAGACTCTTTTTTCTTCCAAATTTGTACAAAATACCAAAAACTATGCTTCCTTTTGCAAGCATGAATGATTGATATTATTGGATTGTGGGCTGATGACAGAATTTAATAATGTATTGACTTATTAGTCTATAGAGAAACAATGAAGCATAAACATGTATGTACATGGTCACATGAACAATTAACAATAAGGTGATCTAGTGTGGGGCTGAGTGACTCTCTTTATAAACATAAGTTCATGCAAAAATGATCAAATATCCCACGAGACCACCCATAGCCTCAAAATGATGAACTAATACAGAGCAGCTGTTGAGGGAGAGAGAGAGAATTGGATTGAATTGGATTTAATGATATGGTGAGACAAACAGAAGGTTTGGAAGTCTGGGAGAAAGAGAGAGAGAAAGAGAGAGAAAGAGAGAGATTGCAAAATCATTACATGCAAGACTAAAAATATGGTATGGGAATTAGGTAGTAGAGGGAGAGAGAATTGGATTGAATTGGATTTAATGAGATGGTAAGACGAACAAAAGGTTTGGAAGGCTGGAAGGAAGAGAGAGAGAGAGAGAGAGATTGCAAAATCATTACATCTAAGACTAAACATATGGTATGGGAATTATGGTATGGGAGGTAGAGAGAGAGTATTGCCATGGTAAAGAAGATGAATGGAGACATTTGCATCTCCTAGGAGAAGGAGGGTGGAGGGAAAGAATGAGCCTTGTTAATAAAGGGATGTCGTACGGTGGAGTTTTAGGAAAAGCATTAATTTCATTACATTAATTGGAAGTTGCTACATTTAGTAGGGTTCCAAACAAATAAGGATACAGTATTAATAACAACGATACCGTATAATCCCAAATAGAAAGGCTGGACTTCTTTCATTTGTAAAGAAGCTTCTAAATGTACTTGAGAGTTTTATGACATGTAGGGTTACATTTACTCAATGCATGTACCCAGGATTTTAATTGAGTTAAAAAAGGATTATTTTCATCCAAAAATAATACAGTGCTACATGTACATGTAGATGACAATGACAATAATGAAAATGGTAGATCTAGTGTACTTAGACTTCTGCAATTGCTTTGCTTGCTAATTATACATGCACTAGATAATACAGCACATACCGTATAGCTAGAAAATTTGGAGTGCTAAAATTTGCCGAATTAACTCTAAAAGAGGTTTGGAGGTTAAAATTTTGGCGAAATTTTAACCCTGTGTATGCTTCTATGGAGCCTTATCAAATTGGAGGTTAAAAATTTGGCTAATGGACCTCAATTCGCCAAAGTTTTACTCCACCAAATTTTCTAGCTATACGGTAATCTATAGCTTGTTTAGGCTCGCCTCTCTTTACATTCTTGTAGTAATAATAGTAATGACGATAGTAATAGTGATTTTGGAGAAAGGAGAGGAGGAAAAATGAAGACAATTCCAAGTAAAGGCTAAATAAATAACGATACAAACATACCAAAGGAAATAAATAAACACAAAACACAGTCTGTATGTGTACATGTACAAATTGGAATAAGTATAGGTTATACACCTAGGTAGAGGTTTCTATTGGTGAGTGTACATGTACATTCACATGTACAATAATCCTGTTCTTACCGTACGGTTGGTAAATTTCGTGGGGTATTAATTTTCGTTAATTTCGTGGTTTATTTTTATCCACGAAATTTTGACCCCTACCCACCCACACATAAAAGCTAATTAACGGGCTACTATTTTCAAGCCAGTAGAGGAGCCAGAGTTCTTGTCTGTTACTCCATATTCCACCATAAGACATGTGTTGGAAGCTAGTCCAGCAGATCCAAGTGAAAAGAAGTTTGCTTACTACCACCCATGAATATTTGTACCCACGAATATTAGCTTTTAAGGACATTTTGGAGAAAACACGAAATTTTGGACCCTCGAATATTACCAACCGTACGGTATTTTCTGTTGATGAGTGTATATGTACTTGTACATGTACAATAATCCCTGATTGCTTACCAGCCAATGGATGAATTAGATCATCAGTCATAACCGAATTATGCAATAATTACATAAACACATATTCCATCCTCTGTGTACATGAACTACATGTACTGTACGTAAATAATCATGAGTAATAATAATAATAATAATAATAATAATAATAACAAGAGTAATAAACTCTAACTCTACCTAACCTACTGTACCTGCGTCATTTGAGATTTTATTTATTTTATAGTAATAATAATAATAATATTAAATGTATATGTACATGTACAGTACATGCTATATTACTTTGCAATAGTTCCACTGCTTTGCTTGAGTTATGCGACGAGGGGGCGTGGCTAAAAGTAGAAGGACTGGGCGTGGCACTAGTGACACTAACTGTACTAGTGCCGGTGGGTGTGGTCCCAGTAGGTGTGGTCTTCTCATTTGTGACGGTCCCTAATAAAAAAGAAATAAAATGTTTTTAATTATCAGATCTTACTACTTGGTGCTATAGAGGAACTTTGCACTTTAGTAGGTGTGGCCTGCACTGTGGTGGGTGTGGTCTGCACCGAAGTAGGTGTGGCTTGTAGCGATAAAGAGGAGGTGCTAGTTTTAGAAATTTGAGTGGGCGGAGAAGCAGAAGGAATGAGCTCGGATATATTATGTAACTGCTCCTAAAATAAAAATAAAAATAAATAAATAAATAAATAATAATAATAATAACAATAATTTCAGCTATATCTACATGTAGATGTACATGTACATGTAATCTGATGAAACTTACCAAAGCAAATGTCATCTTATTCTGTAGCTCGTTTATCTCAAGTCTTAAACTATTCAACTTGGAAATATGGTCCTGCAAGAGAAGATGAAGAAGGAAATAAAATGAGAGAGAGAGAGAGAGAGAGAGAGAGAGGTTGAGGAGAGAGAGAGAGGGAGAGAGAGAGGTGAAATACTTCATTCAAGTGTTCAGTTAAATTAGCAGCTGCTGCCATTAGATCATCTAGAGAAGTATTAGCAATCCAATCAAACTTCTTTAACTTCTACAAAATAAACGAAATCACACAATAACATGCTACATGCTAATATACTGAAGTATACTGTAGTTTACTGACCTCTGTAGTGTTTCCTTCAAAATAATTTAAATTGGACATGACTCTATCAATGAATTTATTCCTTGCTTTAATGTCCGTCTATTAGAAAAGAGAGAAATTGATATAGATGTATATAATTATTCATTTTATTTGTACATGCAGATGTAAATGTAGATGTACATGTACAAATGAAATAATATTCAATATACATGTACTTGGAAACACGAGGAATTTATGTACATGTACAAATCAAATCACTATGTGGCAGAGTGGTGGGCATTAATTAGAGTATAAGTAGAAATCAAAGTTTTTTTTGTTTTTTAGATGCTCATAACTCAAAAATTTGAGCTTGGAATCAGCTCAAACTTGCTACACAGCATAAGGACAGCAATACGTATCAGAAAATGTAATAAAAATTTGGGGTGATTTCGGAGCCATTTTTTGGAAAAAACCATAGGCTATAGCCTTGGGTAGTTTTCAAAATTTTGACGTTTTCTTAAAATGGCCATAACTTAAAAAATTGAAGTCGGAATCAGCTCAAACTTGCTACACAGCATAAGGGCATCAATATGTATCAGAAAATGTAATAAAAATTGGGGGTGATTTTGGAGCCATTTTTTGGAAAAAACCATGGGCTATAGCCTTGGGTATTTTTCAGAATTTTGACGTTTTCTTAAAATGGCCGTAACTCGAAAATTTTAAGTCGGAATCAGCTCAAACTTGCTACACAGCATAAGGGCATCAATATGCATCAGAAAATGTAATAAAAATTGGGGGTGATTTCGGAGCCATTTTTTGGAAAAAACCATGGGCTGTAGCCTTGGGTATTTTTCAGAATTTTGACGTTTTCTTAAAATGGCCGTAACTCGAAAATTTTAAGTCGGAATCAGCTCAAACTTGCTACACAGCATAAGGGCATCAATATGCATCAGAAAATGTAATAAAAATTGGGGGTGATTTCGGAGCCATTTTTTGGAAAAAACCATGGGCTATAGTACAGGGACTTTGGCTAGATTTTCAAGCAAGTTTAAAAATTCATAAAAAATTCAATTATGATCGAAATGAGCTCAAACATTCTACGCAACATAAGAACATGTATATGTATCAGAATATACGTATGTACAAGTATATGATATACTAACCTTTAGTGCTTCCACTATATCAGCTGTATCGCTGGTTTTTGCCGACACAGCATCAATACGACCACCAAATCCACCGCAGTATTTCTTAGTCTCCAAAAACTAATAAATAAAATAACGAAACACAATTACTCCTCCCTTTTGACCCTCCTCTCTCTTCAGTCTTCATTACCTGACTGCTTAGACTCTCCAGTATGCTCTTATACTGAGCTGATGATTTAGTAATCATTTGAACATTGGAAACCATTGAAGTTAGGGTCTTATTAATGAAGGGTAGCTAAGAGGAAGAGAATAAGAAAAAAGGAGAGAGAGAAAGAGAGAGAGAGAGAGAGAGAGAGAGAGAGAGAGAGAGAGAGAGAGAGAGAGAGAGAGAGAGAGAGAGAGGAGAAAGAGAAAGGGGGAAAGAAAGAACATGTAAACATTGACTAATTAACATACAGGTACATGTATGTACATAATACTAGGGACAGAGGGAAAAATTCAAAGTAAGAAATACATGTACATATACATGCATACACGTTTTTTTGAAATGTTGATTATAATGTAATAAAAATTTGGGGTGATTTTTGGAACCATTTTTTTGGAGAAAAAAAACTTGAGCTATAGCCTTTGCTTCTTTAGAATTAAGGGGTAGAGAGGAGGAAAGAAAATAAAATAATAAAACAAGTACAATGTACATGTACATGTACACAAGCATAAAGAGAATGAGAAAGGGGGAAAGAAGTAACATGTACCCATAGTATTAAGGGGGGGAGAGAGAAGGAAGAAAAGAAAATAAAAATAAATAATAAAAACATGCAGATGTACACAAGTATAAAATGGTATTTGAACATTATGGTGCATATACATGATATTTCCAATAGCAACTAGACAGTGAGTGAACTACACAGTGAGTAATAGGAAAGAGGAAAGAAACCTTCCAAAGACCACAGACTGCCCATTACTGCAATACCTATTAGTAAATGGATGATGTACATGTACATTGTAAGCAACACCAGAAGAGGAAGATTATTTAAGCATGATGCCTTCTGTTGGTGTGGAGGAAAACCATACCAGCTGCTCATTTGAAATCAGGTAGCCTTGGCTCTCATAATGTGCACTTAATATTAACAAATGTGACCGTAAGTCAAAATTGGAAACCATAAGCAAAGTGAACTAACAGATACCGACAAGAGACAAAAAACACATGTAAGATACCCGTAATAACCTGTACATGTACGTGTACATATATTGCATAATAAGTACAGATGGACACACATAAATACAATTATAAATCTTATAAAATAAATTCCAAACCATAAGCAAGTTGACTTACAAATACCAACAAGAGATAAACAACACATGTAAGATACTCATAATAACGAATGTAATGCACACATGTATATATGTTGTATAGTAAGTGTACATGTACATACATAATATATACATATACAATTTATAAAATAATAAGAATTTGTTATTTAAAAGACTGGTCAGTTTAGTAAAGATTAGCAGCAATGGTCTAATTACTGCTGATCTTTACTAAACTGACTGTTCTCTTAAATAACAAATTCTTTACCATAGTCTAATCTTATACCAAAAGAAAAACAAAAGAGAGAGAGAGGGGGAGAGAGGGAGAGAGGGAGGGAGGGAGGGGGGAGAGAGAGAGAGAGGGAGAGAGAGAGAGAGAGAGAGAGAGAGAGAGAGAGAGAGAGGGGGGGGGAAGGGAGGAGTGTTATCAAGTCTTACCCATTCTCTTCCTTCATTCACATATTCATCTTTAATGTCTTTCATTGACTCTTTGATCTCTTTCAGTTCACCAGTCAAACCGGTATAGTGACTCGTCAAACGAGTTACGTTATCAGACAAAGAGTGAACAAGAGCAACGTGTTGACTTGATTGTGAATCCTGCAAGCCTTGAAGTGACTGAAGATCTGGAGAGAAAAAGATTAACACATTAAATATTGCAAAAAGACTAAATTAGAGTAACCAGATATCTATAGTAGGGTATTTTTTGTCAAAAATTATTAGTAGAGAATTCTCCATTTTTATAATTTTTCCTAATACACAAATAAGTTCTTATTTTGTGTAGAAAGTTTGAGCTGATTCCAATCAAAATTGAATTTTTTATGAATTTTTAAAGTTGCTAAAAAATCTGGCCAAAGTCCCTGTACTATAGTACATGGTCTTGGGCCAAAATCTGCCAAAATTGAAAAGTAAAGAATTCTCCATTTTTATAATTTTTCCTGATGCATATTCATGTCTTTATTTTGTGTAGAAAGTTTGAGCTGATTCCGATCAAAATTGAATTTTTTATGAATTTTTTAAGTTGCTCACAAAACCTTAATGTACTATCATAGTGAAGTAATGTGGTTATGCATGAAGTCATATGACATGCTGTTTAGCTCAGTTAGCATTCTTTATGGGAAACCCTGCAGTAACAATTACTATAGCAAAGCAACAATTTCAATCTCATTCCACATAGTTTCAAGACCCATTCCTCGTGATTCCATACCTGATTTGATTCGTTCCATGTCAGTATCCATTGAGTCCATCCTGTCCTTCAGGAGCTGGTAATTATAACCCATGAACAGCATAAACAATGACAGCAACATCAACAAAATTGTTAATAGGAATAAGTAAAAAGCAACGCAGCACATGCAGCAGCCATTACTCTTCCTGTCACTGTAGAGGAGAGAGAGGGAGAGGGAGAGAGAGGGAGAGAGAGAGAGAGAGAGAGAGAGAGAGAGAGAGAGAGAGAGAGAGAGAGAGAGAGAGAGAGAGAGAGAATGGTGAATGGTAAAAAAAAAGAAAAAAAGAACAGATAGTTTATTATTATTGTTATTGTTGTGCCAAGCCTATCACCAGCAGACATAACAATAAACAAAACTTGCTTGAAATTTAGTCTAACTCATAAAAATGGAGCTTTTCTTGTAAATTTACATGTACATATACCTCAAGGTGTGTAAATGCTTATCATACGCTAAGCTTAAATTACAATAAATTTCTCTATTATTGAGCACTTATAAGTATTTATGGTTATAGTTCTTGTTCTTTAAAAAGATCACGTGATGTTAAACAAACTCTAAATGATCCCATTTTGGCACAGGTCAATGTGTTACCTTGTTCCTAGCGGTAGCGGTTCTTTTAGTAGGCTCCCGTTTCCTCTCATTTCAGACACGTCTAATAGTTCTATTTCTGATCCAGAGTAGTCTCCATCTTCCATTACAGCCACTTCTTCGTTACTTAGTCGTAGGAAACCTTTTTTACTCTTTCCTCTCTTACTAGACGCCATTTTGACTTGAAGAATTTGGGCGTGGCGAAGATGTTTTGGATCGGCCACGCCCAAAGATGCATAACTTTCACTTTTTTAGACTTTCAATTAATTAATAATCAACACTGAATTTTATGAAAAAAAAAAGAATAGTAGATCTATAGAATTTATTAATTTAATCACTAGACCTCTTAGGTCGTATTTCAAAAATCCAATAGTAATAATAACAATAATAAGCTCACAAATTATTAATAATGTGACAATTATTTTATATAAAATTACATTACAAAACATAATACAAGTTTATAATCTACCAAACTTTCATGTTCCTGCACGAGAGTTATAAAGTGTTATTTTTGATACTAGAGGCAGTATCCACTTCAGCTTTTATGAATATGGCATCATCTTCAATGAATCCACCTTGCATTAGTTCCTTTATGGACACAAAACGAGGACATCCATAAGGAACATTCATATCTGATTTTGGTTTCTGGAAGGAAGGGCTGAATGGATCAGGTTGGAATACATCCATAATATCACGAGCACCACACTGATTGATTAGCTTGAAGGTCACCTTGTGTGTGAATGGCCACTGGAGTATGTTATCAAACTCTCCTTTCATGACAACAAAGAACAAAGACATATGAGTGCCCTTTCCTATACCATCCCCCAGGATGTAGAGGCGAAGACACATCTTGTAACCATGCGAATTCAGGGGATTAGAATAAAATGGGGAGGAATCAATTGAGGTGCAATTTCCTGCCATAGCATCATTTATTTGTTGTTGGAGCTGCTTAATTTTCCACACCTTAGTAGCATTGAAGGTAGCTCTCTCTAGAGTCGTAATGCGAGATTCTACATCATTGACTTTATCTATTAGAGCAGTATTGTTCCTTTCTAGTTGGCCTATTTTGTCTTGCAAATCTTGATCATCTCCTCTGACTTGACATGGAGCATAACAAAGTTCCATACTTCTTCTCTCAGGGATTTCATCATGCAAGATCTCGTTGGGGCGTTCAGCAAGAACAAATCTTCTCAAATAATTTTTATCACCACAACTGCTTACAATAAGGTCATGACTTTCAGAGTATGAGTGAGCAGATTTGACAGGAGATGGTAATGCTGAATTTGCTATCAAAAGGTGATTCTCCTTTAGGGTGGGTTTTTTAACCTAAAATGGAATAAAAATGGAATTATGCTTTGATGTATGTATGTCCTAGTTTACTTTGGATGAGATGAAATCATATTTTCCAGGGGAAGTCTCAGGAGTAGGATGCTATAATAAAATAAAGAATAAAGTCGAGTGTCAACATGTAATGTGACACATATAGTTTACTATTAAGAACTTCCATGGTGGTATTGTTATATTCCCTGCATTAATTTCATTTTTGATCATAGTTAACTGTTTGCAACTTACATTGATTAACTATTACTATCAAGAGTAAATAAAAGTAAATAATAAATCTATATGCACTATATGGTACAAGGTGTGCACAGTAATAAACAATACACTGTACACATAACATATACACTATGCATAATATCAATATACTTTATGCTACATAAAGGTATTTTATGCACAAAAGCATTCGCACAAAAAACTGGATGATGACTGAAAACTACATGAAGACAATTTGCACTATACTAAAGTTCTTAAAAATTTGGCCAAAGACTCAACTACTGGACAATAATGGCCATTGGAACCCTTCCAATCACAATCAGAACACTCAAAAGTCAATTTCTCAATTTCTTTGTGAATAGATTGATCAATAGGAAAGAACTAAAAATGGAAGAGAACCAGCCATTTATGTTACCTAAATCACTGATTTCATGTTTTTGATGCAAAATGACTTACAAAAGTAATTAATAAATAATTATTAATTATACATAATCAATAATCATTCAATGAATAAGTAAACAAGAGCTTACAACAGTAACCTATAAAATTGCAATAAATGTACTGGTCACTACAAAAATCACTTCACTGTCCATAATTCTATTGCATTATAATAAAAGGGAAGATTTACAACTAGCCAAAATTATAATGGTGACTAGTACTTGCATATAGCTCATAAAGCAGGGCGCCTTTTTCAAGGGTTGAAATTTACAGCCCTCAAAAAAAGGAGCCCTACAGTACCCCAATTACACTCAATGCATGGGAGATAGGGTAGTACCTCAACCACACAGGAGGGTACTAGGGTCACACTATGCAAGACAAGACCAAAAAATAATGACTAGTTGATCCACAGTAAACCAACCACTTCTCATTATAATACAGCAGGATCATGATGGTTACAGTGATTTAGTGATAGGTAGTAGGTACACAATGCAATTATAAGAACTGCTGTGAAGCTCTCAATGCCATCATGATGCCATGGATCACATATCGTAGCAGTGTCCACTTTGACCTTTATGAATATTGTATCATCAACAATGAATCCACCTTCCATTAGTTCATTCATGGACACAAAACGAGGACATCCACTGGCAGCATTCATATCTGATTTTGGCTTCTGGAGTGACGAACTCTCCTTTCATGACAACGAAAAACAAAGACATATGAGTGTCCTTTTTTTTCTTTTTTTTTTAGTGAAGAAACACCAGGAACATTACAAGTAGCCACTCAAGTAGCCATTTTGCCTTACTTTTCAAGATGATGTGCTTCCGTGAACGTGTCCCTTTAGGATTTGATTGAGTTTAAATTCAAGTTACTTACCTCTTCTGTTTCACACCCATGATCTTTAAGAGGACATGTGACAGTCATCTCAGGACATTGATCAACATGAGACTGATACTATAAGGAAAGTGAATTCATTATTAATGTTATGCTTCATTGATTATTGTTATGAATAATAGTTATTCCAAATAAGGAGACCAAAAGACAGGAAGTAGCCTATAGGTGTAGCTGTATTTTAAGACTCACTTCCAATGGAGAGAATGCTTGATTGCAGTGCTTACATTCAGTCTTGTTATGTTCACAGTTCCCAAGATGGTTACCAAGTTCACCCATCATTCCTTCCCATCCGCAACCAAACTTGCAATTAATACAAGCGACTATGAAACGATTAATCTCTTTCCTAACAAATCTATCAGGAAAAAACTGAGAGAAAGAGACACAACATTAAGTAGTGCTTTATTCAAGGCTTTATTAATAGACATACTTCTTCAAAAGTGAGCCCTTCTCCACATTCTGTTCTAGGACAATATGGTGTCCCTTCCCTTTACAAAACAAAAATAAATATGCCATATAGTCTAATCATCGTCTCACATTTTTTGAAATATTCCTTCTGCACAATCATGACACAACCAGTGCCCACAGCTAATCTGTACTGCGTCTGTTAGTATGTGCTCACATTTGGGACACTCGTATTTTTTTAACTCCTCCTTGTTGCCTTCCACCAAATCACTTCTTTTTACTTTCCTGTATGACATCAGCCTCCAATTTCCTTAAACAAGACACCGCGAACAAGACTGACAGAAGGCTGGCTTTTATCCACTATCACTTTCAGACACTCATAGGTACTTCCCCCGGGAAACCCCCTGTATTTTTTTTATCCACAACCTTACTATTACTATAATAGATCTACTGCCACAAGAGTAAATAAAATATATTCTACTCTAATATCCACTTTCAATGTTATTAATAATTGCCAGCTACAAATTAGATGGTCAGTACTAAATCAGCCTAGTTGCTCAAGCAGGTCTGATACTTGCAGAACAGATATAGTCTATCACATGCCTGATTATTCCTAGCTCTGTGTGATGCTACTGCAAATATTGTTTGGAATAATTTTTTCATAATCAAAGTTCTTGAATAAGTTATTACCAACAAAAATCAAATAAATTGGGCATGAGAGCTTAGGGCAATACCTGTAGCAAAATCACTTCAACATTCATGCATTACAATAAAGCAAAGGTACCACAATCAATGCAAAAGGGTTAGGTCACTACACAAGATATGACTATAGTTGATCCACTGTGAATCAACCCATTCATTATAGTACAACAGACAATGATCTAACTATAGACACAGTGCAACTATGATAACTGCTTTAAAGCCTCAGTGCCGTTATGCTGTTATGGATGACACATGATACTGATAGTAGCAATGTCAACTTTGTCTTTTATGAATATCGTACCACCCAATATACCATTTTGAATTAGATCTAGTTCATTCATGGACACAAAACGAGGACATCCACCGGCAGCATTCATATCTGATTTCGGCTTCGGAACGAAGAGCTCAACAGATCAGGTTGAAAAACCTTGTAAGTAAAAGGCAACTAAAGAATGTTAATCAAACTCTTGAGCCTTTCATGACAACAAAGAGTAAAGACATATGAGTGCCCTTTCCAATACCTAGCGGTAGCGATTCTTTTAGTAGGCTCCCATTCCCTCTCATTTCAGACACGTCTAATAGTTCTATCTCTGATCCAGAGTAGTCTCCATCTTCCATTACAGCCACTTCTTTGTTACTTAGTCGTAGAAAACCTTTTTTACTCTTTCCTCTCTTGCTGGACGCCATTTTGAGTTGAAGGATTTGGGCGTGGCGAAGACTTTATTGGATCGGCCACGCCCAAATAATTAACAATGAATTGTTTTTATGAAAGAACTACAAGCACACCTATAGAATTCAATTATTTAATCATTAGACCTCTTAAGTTGTATTTCAACAACAACAACAACTAATAATAATAATAATAATAATAATAATAATAATAATAATAATAATAATAATAATAATAATAATAATAATAATTTTAGACACTGATCCAGGAGATGACAATGAGCTGCAGTCATTAAGATTTGAGGTAATAATAAAATAATAATAATAATAATAATAATAATAATAAAATAATAATAATAATAATAATAATAATAATAATAATAATAATAATAATAATAATAAAATAATAATAATAAGAAGAAAATTTTTAATGGAGACAGAAGCACCACAAAAACAATAATAATAATAATATAATAATAATAATAATAATAATAATATTAATAATAATAATAAGGCCACTCCAATTTGATTCCTTGTTTCCCATTACCCGCCCGCATGGGGCCGCATCGCTATTCATTATTGCGGTTTTTCATTGATTATACAAGCAATTTATGCAGCTGATAATGAATAAATTTAATGAAAATGAACAAACCCGCCCGCCCGCATCAGGCCCGCCTCTGTAATGGGAAACTATGAATCTTATTGGAGTGGCCTAATATTAATAATAATAATATTAATAATAATAATAATAATAATAATAATAATTTGAAATAATAATAATAATTATAATAATAATAATAATAATAACAATAATAATAATAATAATAATAATAATAATAATAATAACAATAACAATAATAATAATAACAACAACAACAACAACAACAACAAACAACAAACAACAACAACAAACAACAAACAACAACAACAAAAACAACAACAATAACAACAACAATAATAACAACAACAACAACAATAACTATGACAATAATAATAATAAGATAGATAAAGTGACAGTTAGGAAATGAAAAAGGAGTCAGAGGATGGTGATGTCTCAGAGAGGGACCCCATGACACAGACTGCATTGGCTCTTTGGATTGCGACAGAGAGGCGCTGTAACAAATATGCAAATGACGAGACCTCACCAGAATACTCACGAATTCTGAAGCTGAGCTCTTTGAGGAATTTCAAAGATGCCGGGCCTATGGCTCCTAGGGTTTCGATGGCTATAGGTGTGAAGAAGTAATCTCTGCCAAGGGACAGATATTTGTCACACTTCTTCTTTTCAGCCGCAGTTGCCACTGACCCGGGGCCACGGACCGCGACATTCACATATGAAGGAGCAAGGGTGTCCGGGCATGTAGCATCCCATACCAAGGGCCTTCCAGACTTCCAAGGGACCATTGTGATCCCATCTGGTCTCTTCCCGCTGGCATTGGCTAGTAATAATAATAATAATAATAATAATAATAATAATAATAATAATAATAATAATAATAATAATAATGATAATAATAATAATAATAATAATAATAAGCTCAAAAATTATTAATAATGTGAAAACTATGAAATTACATTACAAAACATAATACAAGTTTACAATCACCAAACTTTCATGTTCCTGCACGAGAGTTATATAGTGTTATATTTGATACTAGAGACAGTATCCACTTCAGCTTTTATGAATATGGCATCATCTTCAATGAATCCATCTTGCATTAGTTCCTTTATGGACACAAAGCGAGGAAATCCACTGGCAACATTCATATCTGATTTTGGCTTCTGGAATGAAGAGCTCAATGGATCAGGTTGGAAGACATCAACAACATCACGAGCACCACACTGATTGATTAGTGTGAAGGTAACTTTGTGTGTGAATGGCCACTGGAGTATGTTATCAAACTCTCCTTTCATGACAACAAAGAACAAAGACATATGAGTGCCCTTTCCTATACCATCCCCCAGGATGTAGAGGCAAAGGCACATCTTGTAACCATGTGGATTAGAATAAAATGGGGATGAATCAATTGAAGTACATTTTCCTGCACTAGCATCATTCATTCGTTGTTGGAGCTGATCAATTTTCCACACCTTAGTACTGTTGAAGGTAACTCTCTCTAGAGTCGTAATGCGAGATTCTACATCATTGACTTTATCTATTAGAGCAGTATTGTTCCTTTCTAGCTGGTCCATTTTGTCTTGCAAATCTTGATCATCTCCTCTGACTTGACATGCAGCATAACAAAGTTCCACACTTCTCCTTCTCTCAGAGATTTCATCATGCAAGATCTCGTTGGGGCGTTCAGGAAGAACAAATCTCCTTATATAATTTTTATCACCACAACTGCTTACAAAAAGGTCATCACCTTCAGAGTATGAGTGAGCAGATTTGACAGGAGATGGTAATGCTAAATTTGCTATCAAATGGTGATTCTCCTTTAGGGTGGGTTTTATCACCTACAGTGGAATAAAAAAATGGAATAACTCAATTATGCTTTTATGTATGTATGTCCTAGCTTACTTTTGATGAGATGAAATCATATTTTCCAGGGGAAGTCTCAGGAGTAGGATACTTTTCATCATGTGATTGTGGATGCTATAATAAAAATAAAGTCAAGTGTCAACATGTAATGAGACACTCAAGTTATGACATTAAACTTCCATGGTGGTGTTGTTGCATTCACTACATTCAGTTCATTCCATTTCATGGTGCACTGACATGCTAGTTGTGGCACCATAAATATCTGATTATAGTTTAGTTATTATTATTATTATTAAGTTATTACATCTTGTATTATTACATCTTGTATTATTATGCTGTATAAATTTAACAGTATATGCACTATGATACAAGGTATAAGATTTATAATACACAATACACTGTATAACATTGTACACCATCTTAATACACTAAATGCTACACAAAGGCACTTGCAGGGCAAAACTCATGATACAAAACTTGCACTATTACAGTTGCTCTGGCAAAAATTTGGCCAAAGACCCAGGCTGCATTTGTAACACCAACCTTAACTTCTGGACAATAATGGTCAGTCAAATCACTGGAGCAACCCTTTTTAAAAGTCAATTTCTTAATTTCTTTGCAAATAGATTGATCAGGAAAGAACTAAAAATAGAAGAGAACCAGTCATTTATGTTACCTAAATCACTGATTTCATGTTTTGGATGCAAAATGACTTACAAAATTACAGGTAAGCTCTTGTCCACAATCTTTATCTGGGCAAACTACTGTTTCCTTCCTGAAAATGATTAATGACTATAGTGAATGTGGTTCAGTTATTTTGACTTACAGTTTAGTTCTAGGAAAATAATTTTCTGCACAATGGCTGCAAAGCCTGTGGCCACAGCTTATCTGAACAGCTTCTTGGAGAATGCAGGCACAAACAGGACAGCTGTATTTTTCCAAATGATCCTTGTTTTTTCCTGCTAAAGACAAAATGGTAGCCTTAGTAGCCATAGGCTGCAAGCCTGAAACTTGAATTCGATGAAACATGATCGGTGAGAACATTGTAAAGTCATGTAAAACAGGAAGGTGGGATGTGGTCATGTGATGCAAATCTCCCATCTGATTGGTCAGAGTATGGTTAGACACTCTCTACGAGGAAAAAAGTTCGTTAAGAGTTGGTCCTTTCCCTGGGAATTCCCCTGTTGGTGGTCCTTCTCTGCACTTAAGATAACAAGTAAAAGTAAGTTTTCATCGATCCTAACTGCTGATGGTGCTTTTTTATGCAGCAGTACTGACTGCAGCAACCTGCAATGAAAAAGATCAGTTGAAAAGAATGAATTTGCAAAATAGTTTTCAGCTTGCTCGTTGCAAACCTGGTAGCTTACATGAATGACTTACTCAAGCACTATGCACAGCACAAGAGGTCCAAAACAAAGCCACGCCCCACAAAGCACTGACCCAAATTCAGAACTTCGTAAATGCTGCAAGTTGTACAGGAAACAAATTTTAACGAGTGCATCTGTGCTGCTCAGGCCCAGTCTTATCCTTTATCTCAGCACAAACAAAAAGTACTGACTACTGCCCTCAGTAGCCTGCTAATTTGTAAACTTGACCATAGCCACTTCCACTTATATATACAATCTGCAAGCCCCTCCTTCCAGCGTGGGCGGTACCTTTGCATCATGATGTTTTTTTCATAATAAACAAATAAACAATAACAATAAATATAAATATAATAATAATTATTATTATTATCATTATTATAAATTAGGCATGAGAGCTTGGAACAGAGAAAATAAAGAATAAACTCCACTGACACAAAAATTACATCACTGTCCATTATTCCATTGCATTATAATAAAGCAAAGATTTACAACTAGCCAAAATCATAATGCTAACTAGTTGATCCACACTGTAAATCAACCACTTCATTATAACACAGCAGGATTATGAACAGTGATTTAGCTATGTAGTCAGTAGTGCAATCATAATAACTGGTCTAGGCTCTCAATGCCGTCATGCTATCATGGATGACACATCATAGCAGTGTCCACTTCAGCTTTTATGAATATGGTGTCACCCAGGATAAAACCATCTAGCATTAGTTCATCCATGGACACAAAACGAGGACATCCACTGGCAACATTCATATCTGATTTCGGCTTCTGGAATGAAGAGCTGAGTGGATCAGGTTGGAATATGTCCATGATGTCACGAGCACCACATTGATTGATTAGCTTGAAGGTCACCTTGTGTGTGAATGGCCACTGGAGTATGTTATCAAACTCTCCTTTCATGACAACAAAGAACAAAGACATATGAGTGCCCTTTCCTATACCATCCCCCAGGATGTAGAGGCGGAGACACATCTTGTAACCATAACGACTGCTATAGAACGGAAGAGAAAATATTGAAGTGTATTTTCCAGTCCTGGCGTCATCCATACGCTGAGAGAACTGAGGTATCTTCCAGACCATAGAACCATCAAAATTACTATTCTCCATCAGGGAAAGTCGGAAATCTCTATCTTCATTCTCAGACATCTTAGTAGAGAGTGTTGTCTCCAGTTGGGCTACTTTATCTTGTAGAGTGTGTATTTGACTGTCCTTCTTTGTTAATTCTGCTTGTACCCCTGTTATCTTTGTCATGACTAAACTCATCAGTTTGTCATCAACTCTTCCTCCTCCAATTCCTTCATATCTTCCTACTGTTCCAGCTACTTCATCTTCCGAAAAACCCAAGTCATTTCCACTAGGGTCTGGTCCATCAGTGCTGACATATCTTTTGATTGCCTTTGGTGAAGCAGAAAGAACTTTACTAGACATCGATTCATAGCCTCCATCACTCTCAACGTAGCTTCTCCTTTCTCCCTCCTTAGCATCAGTAGAACTTGATGGTACTATTGAAGATAAGATGCTAGCGATCATCAAAAGGTGAGAATAGGTTCCTGTTTTTGATGCAACATGCTCAATGCATTCTTCTCTTGACATCTCCTCTGTCTCCTTGCACCCATGATCTTTGAGAGGACAAGCGACAGTCATCTTAGGACATTGATCAACATGAGACTGGTACTATAAAGAAAGTGAATTCATGATTAATTTGATTATGGTTATTAATACTCCTCCCCCCCAAATAAAAGGGAATAACTTAAGAAGCCCACAAGGCGCAAGCTGGCCCAGTAGTCTCAAAATAGCAATGCCTATTATGGCATTGCTTAACAGAGCTATTTTTAAACAGGAAGTCAATTCAAAATGCAGCTGTATTTGAGGTTTCACTCTGAGACAAGTACCCCACTCACCTCTAATGGAGAGAATGCTTGATTGCAGTGCTTGCATTCAGTCTTGTTATGTTCACAGTTCCCAAGATGGTTACCAAGTTCACCCATCTTTCCTTCCCAACTGCAACCAAACTTATGATTAATACAAGCGACTACAAAACTACTAATTTCTTTCCTAACAAATTTATCAGGGAAAAACTGAGAGAAAGAAAAACGACGATAAGTTTTAGTAACCACTTTATAAATAGACATACTGATCTTCCTTCTTCAGCAGTGAGTTCTTCTCCCTATTTTTATATTTTTAAAATACTTTTAATAATATTGCTTTACTAACCTCCTTTGTTTCCTTGCACCCTTGATCTTTAACGGGAGATGTGGCAATGCACATGTGATTATCAACCTATAAGAGAAAGCATGAATTCATAGTTAAATGCAACATGATAATTAACAGACAATAATGATTAATGTTGAAATTAGTTTCTATACTTTATGGCATCTTTTTACCATACTACTACATCCTACCATACCATACTAAAGCTAGTTTGTTAAAGGTCAGTGAGCCTGGGGGTGCGGTTTAAATAAGAGCGTGGCACTCTGCATTTACAGGTACAGTATAGACCAGTTGGTGCTAAGTATATTATTCATAGAATTTTGAGTATACTGTACTTCACAAATTTTGCATTTGTAAGATTTCACGAAATAATATTTTCACGAATAGGTTGTAAACTCCACCACGTGGCAATGTGAATTCAGAATTTCACAATTTTTATTTTCGCGACGGAACAAGAAAACGCAAAATCCGCAAAAATTTGGCTACTCGAAAATTTCCCAGTATACAGTATTCATTGTGACACTGTAAATAAAGTAAAATTTTCCTACAGCCATTTTGGAGTCATAGTTTACTAAGAGTAGAATGGGAGAAAGCAATATCTTTGCTTCTATAGGTCCTAGTGGCACTTATTAAAGTCCATGAGCCAACTCTAGACACTGGATGATGGTCAGTAAGCAGTAGCAATATTGCTGTAACAAATAAATACAGCAGTTTTTAGAGAATAAGCTCTTTTCCAATCGCTCCATAGAAAACCATTGGAACCAGGACTCCAAAATGGCGGCAGGAAAATTTTACTTTATTTACGGTATCACGGTGGATATAATTATAATATACTTAGCACCAACTGGTCTATAGTTTAAGAAATTGCCAATGAAATTTATAATGTGAATGTGCCAGGTCTAGTCAGCACTAACCTCTGATGTTAAGATATTTGAATTGCAATGAGGGCATAATGTGACTTTAAGTGATCCAGCTGGTGATAATTCAGTGATAGTGAGATTGTCACGACCGTGACTCTGACCCTGTTCTTCATTGCAGTATTGCTGTGGAAGCAAAGATCAAAAGATCAGAAATGCATTCACACATACTGAAGGTCCGAGTGGTTCTTCAACACTTGCAAACAGAGTGCAATAAGATTCATTCTCAGAATCTTTCTAAAATAAAAAAGGAAATTATAAAAATAAATTTTTTGCCGATTAAATGTAGAAAGGTTAGAGAGGCCCAAAATTTACAGTATACAAAATTTTGAGGGCCATAAACCTCATTAATGAATTTGTCAATTAGCCTCATTTTCCAAATCTTCAAAAAATTGTGAAACCCATAATTTACAGCCACTAAAAATTTGGTACTGTACGACATTACAGTTCATATACCAACCTCAGGTGAGCTGTGAATGAAGCGGGATCCTGGTTCACTTGTGTAGCTGCTTGGTTGCACAGATGCTACATGTATGGTATTGCTCAAAGGACATTGATTAACATGTGACGGGTACTAAAAAAGAGAAAAGACTCAATGTTACAAAAGGAATCAATTATATCATGCAGTATGACTATGAGGTAATAATGATAAAGTAGTACCAAGAGTAGATACTGTTCAGGGGCGTATCCAAGGGGAGGGGCTGAGGGGGCTTGAGCACCCCCCTCATGGCTGGGCTCAGAAAAAAAAATTAATCAAATCCTGGACTCTTTCCTCACTACCAAGCCTCCTAACAAAGTTATCTAGCCCCCTTATCATGATTTCAGCAGTTTCTAGTGCTTTAAGGAGTGACCAGAAGTCGTCAGAAGTACCAGTATGCTTGAATACTGTATAGGGGTTATATTTCACAGGAAATAAATTTCGCGTTTTCATTAAATTCGCAAAATTAAATTCCACAAAAGAGGTGTGGCACACTAGTAAAAATAGCTGCAGAAGGTAGGATTCCAAAATTTTATACCAACAAAATAAAACCACTATACGGTATATCTTGACCTCACCCGTAATTCACAAAAATGAAGGAAAACACCATTTTACCGGGTGTGGGCAAAATTGCGGAGCACTTTGTGCATCCTCAGTACCCCTTTCATAATTTCTGGATACGCCCCTGCTATTATCTACAAGCATGCATAGCCAAGAAATAAAGTGTAGATCAATCCGATCAAAGTAACTACAAACCTCAGACAAAGAAAATCTTTCTTTACAATGAGGACACTCTTCTTTCTCATAGACACAGCTGTTGAGATGTTCCAATAATTTGCCAAATATATCATTCCATTCACATCCAAATCTACGATTAGGACACATTATAGAGACACGATTGATCTCTTTACAAACGAAGCGATCAGGAAAGAACTAGAGAGAGAGAGAAGTTATTAAGTTGTACATAATCAATTTTAATCATTGACATACTGGTCTTCCATCTTCAGTAGTGAGTTTTTCTTCACAATCTGTTCTTGGACAATATGGGGTTGTTTTTCTGGAATAACAAAATAACAAACATAAAGGGAGAATACGTAAAGATGTATATATATACTTCTTGTCAAATATCTCTTCAGCACAACAATTGCACAGCCAATGGCCACAGCTGGTCTGAACGGCGTCTCTAAGGATCCCGTCACATTTAGGACACACGTACTTCTCTAGAATGTCTTTGTTGTTTTCTGTCAACAGATCGCTTTTCATTAAGACACGCGCCATTTACAGTATGGGCTGCCTGAGCTGCTCGAGGGGGCACTCCACCCTTTCGTTATTTATAACGAGATAATGAAGGGAGTCCACCAGGGGACTCCCCGGGGGGAACCCCAGCGAGCAAGACTAAATCAACATCAACCATCAGACTACGATCAGACATCAGACTACTTGTGCAAAGATGTGGACAATCAACTGACGTGACTGGACTAGTCATCTATATAGCTATATGCCATAGTACTGCCCCACCCATTCCCTGCCCATTTTTGTTTGCATAGCACACGTGAGCCACTCAATAATGAATAAAATTTACTACACTAGGTGAATGTAAACATTGAGGGGGCGAGCCATCAATTCACATTGTTTGATAAGATTAAAATTATAATAAATCCAGCTCTTAGCCTGCATGCATATTCAGACCCCGGCCTCATGGCCGGGGTCTGAACAGAGCAAACACACCAGTTAACACAACCAAAATAACCCAGTAAAAGAGACAAGGATGAACTATCCTGTCACTTTGAAAAAAATGTGCCAGGCTAAACTTTTAATCAAGCTTCCATCAATTAACATCTTTTTGATATAAAACTACTGAAATAAAATCAATCCAGCTCTTAACGTGCATGCGGCATATTCAGACCCCATCCTCATAGTCCGGCGTGGTCTGAACAGAGCAAACCCACTATTTAACACCACTGACCAAAATGACCTAGTAAAAGTGACAAGGATGAACTGTCCTAATACTTTGAGAAAATGTGACAAGCTACTGAAACTTCTAATCAAGCTTCTCTCACAATTTAAATTCTTTCAATGAGAGGACTAATCTAGAGGAGTCTTAGATCAAACTGCTTTTAAGTTCTTCAGCCTTTAGAGATGCTTTAGACAGCCCCTCTCTCTTGTCTAACTGTTAGAAACTCAATCTGAGTTTGCCACGTTAAAATTTCCGCCATCTTGCTCTTTTTGACCACACCCTCTAGATTAATTTTGCCCACGTGGTCCAAATTTATTAATGATAGTATACTAATTTAATTTTCGTATTCTTCCGTTCATAAACAAGACGTAACGCAAATAGACCCATTATTATCATAGATATTATAGACTACGTAACCGGGATTGGAAACTGATGACGTCACGTGTACAGACTGTGTGCTTATTAATGCATGAAATTGCATGAATTTGCATCAAAATGGTGAAAATCTTAAAGAATTGTTATGTTTGATGAGCTGTATTAATAATATACTGTGATGTAGCTGGTTCTAAGTAGCTTAATCGCATAAAGAAAATACCAGAGATCACGATGGTACCTTTCTCTTCGTGTCTCTATGCTTAGTTCGCTCGGGAGAGGTACAACAGATCGGCCGCTTTTTGGCGTTATTTTGGTGGATTTCTGCTCTCAGTAATATGGCAGGCAGAACTAACCAGTCTATTCTCATGTAGCATGGCCTTGTGCATAGTTTTAATCATAAAATGAAACTGGGGTAGCTAAAGCTTGTTTGCAGGAGGGAGAATAAGACATTATCTCTTGTCACGGGGAGCGCACTTGCTTTAAACACCTGTTTTTACACAGCTAACACATTTTATTTTTGTACCAAAGAAAAATATAAACATGTGAGTATATTATAAGAGCCCAAGTACAGGTGAAATAGCTTGCGGGACTTCACTAGAGACCATTCTTTCCAGCCATGTCAGGCATTTTCGTCCGCCTCTCACTGTCACAGAGACTGTACCTGAATAGTTACATTGATTTGAATGGGATCACGTGATCTGTTTCCAATCCCGGTTACGTAGTCTATAATATCTATGATAGACCTAGATTAGTGTGGGTCTCGCTCATGCTCGCCCCAATTACCACAAGCGGAAATTGGAAAAAGACTGTAAAAGGAAATGCTATTATTATCCTTAATTTCCTGCTATTAATAAACTAGAAACAATGTAAAACATTCAAGGGCTCAGCCTCGTAGATTATTAGCTGGGAAAAAGCAGAATCTCAACTTTATGTTGCTGCTAGAAAACTCCTGACTTGTTTTTTACTTTAAGCCTTGCTACACTGACTTTAAAATAGCCATCCTTAATTTCCTGCTATTAATAAATTAATTTAATCTAGATCTACATGCATTGCCAACTTTGAAATTTTGAAGATTGACAATGAAAATAGCCTCTGAGCAAAAGTAAAAAATAGTATTTTCTAGTAACTAAAGCAGGTGAGAGTCAAGAGATTAGTGTTCATTGCCGAGGGATCTGACATGGGCAAGTAAAATAAATAATGTCATAGCAAATAAGACCATAGCAAAGATAGGAAGTATCCATCATGACTGCTATAAAACAATCCTGAGAAGTGATAATATGAATAGTCGTGTAATAAATTTTAGGATGCAATTTTGAAATTCTAATGATTATTATTATTATTATAGCCAACCAGATCTATTTTTAGCTAATCCTAGGATTAGAATGTAGACATGGGGAAGATGAATGTGAAATGTGGAAGATAGTCTGAGTCTGGGAAGCAAATAGCAATAGGAATCGCTACCCAGACTCGGACTCATCTTAAGACTAATCAAATGTCATAGTTGTACATATAATTAATTTTTTAGGCTCTGCCACAAGTTGGTATGTGTCCTTCAGACTCATCATTTAATGTTTTGTCTAATAATCAATTTGTCTTTTATGTTTTTGCGTCATTTTGTGTCTGTACGCTCTGTAAAGCTTTAATAATAATAATAATATAAATAATAATAATAATGATATAGCAACTTCAATAAAAAGAAAGATGCTAATAGTATACAAGCAATAATGATCTTAATAATAATGAGATAACAATATGAGTGGTTTTATGGTTAAAATTATGCTAGTTGCTGTTGCATGCTTCATCCTTCATGAAGAATGCTAGGTTGCTGTATCTACTTTGACTTTTATGAATATCGTATCATCAACAATGAATCCACCTTCCATTAGTTCATTCTTGGACACAAAACGAGGACATCCACTAGCAACATTCATGTCGGATTTCGGCTTCTGGAACGAAGAGCTCAGTGGATCAGGTTGAAAGGCTTGAACAGCATCTCTCTTACCACACTGATTGATTAACTTGAAGGTGACCTTGTGTGTAAAGGGCCACTGGAGTAGAGCGTCGTACTCTCCTTTCATGACAACAAAGAACAAAGACATGTGAGTGCCCTTTCCTATACCATCCCCCAGGATATAGAGGCGAAGACACATCTTGTAACCATTGCGACTGGAGGAGAACGGAAGAGAAAATATTGAAGTGTATTTCCCAGTCCTGGCATCATCCATACGTTGAGAGAACTGAGGTATCTTCCAGACCATAGAACCATCAAAATTACCGTAGCAAAAACTCATTGTAATAGTTTCCAGTTGTGCCACTTTATCCTCTAAAATGCGTATCTGGCTATCTTTCTTTGTTATTTCTGCTATAAGTTCTGCTATAATTGTCACAAAACTTTCAATAGCTCCACGAACACCATCCTCTATGGCAAAGGACTCAAGAGACTCAGGCTTCAATGGATTGGTTGGTAGAGAAGAGAGTGCAGCAACCATCATTACAACATGATCAAAGAGACCATCTTTTGATGACACGTGATTAATGCATTCCTCTTTAGTCATCTATACAATAGATATTTAAAATTCAAATACATAGCTTACATTTTAAACATACTTCATTCGTTTCCTTGCATCCATGATCTTTCAAAGGACACGTGACCATCATCTTTGGGCATTCATCAACATGTGGCTGATACTAAAAAACATTGAAAATTCAGACAAATGTGGACAAACACATTTCATAAAGTTTAGACAATGTGGGTATAAAAAGTATTTTGTGGGTAGCTATATAAGTTTAACAAGTCATACCTTTCCATAAAAGGAAGTAAAAGACCCAAAGAATTCTTTCACTTCTTTATAAGGAAATTAATGCTGTGTTCATTTCAAAATAATTATATACTATTAACCTCTGTCATAGCAAAATCTTCATTACAATGAGGGCATTCTTGTTTTCTGTGCATGCAGCAGCTGACATGTTCAGAAAGAGCACCGATTGTATCAACCCAGCCACAACCAAACTTATTGTTTGGACATTTGATGAATAAAGAGCATATCTCCTCACGCAAAAACTTGTCAGGTGTGAACTATACAAAAAAAGTAATACATTTGCATGCGCAATAACTATAATTTTTTGTCACAAAAAATTGACAACAAAGTACAAAAAAATTGATAGTAAGGTGGGTTGTACACGCCCAAGAGTTAAGGCGGGTTTTCAATATGATGCATGCACGTCCATCATGACCGGAAGTGCTGTATAAACCAATGGGAGCATGCGTCAATGCATCAGATTAGGAAACATTTCTATTCTGACGCATTGACGCATACTCCGATTGGCTTATACAGCACTCCCGGTCGTGACGCTAGCGCATGAAAAACAATGCGTCATATTGAGAACCCACCTTTACCATGCCTGATTCAGGACTGTTACGCGAGACTAGCCCAAAATTACTTGGATCAGGCCTGATATAGTACTGGACCACTGGTACAGCCCTGATGGCTATCATTGCTGAATCAGGAAAGTCGGTCTGGCCTGATCCAGTATAGATGCTTATCATGCCAGTACTGTGACTGACTCCATGATTGTATCAGGACTGACCGTGGTCCATGCCTGATATCAGGAGTGATTCAGGTCGCTGACATTAGGCCTGCAGCTAAACCCCATGAACCGTAGCAAGCATGTTTATCGTGTATATACATGCTGCTACAGCCTACAAGCCTGTAGCCTAGGCACTATAGATCTAGCGATATTAGATAGTAGACACTATACACAAGGATCTCCATAGATACGGTATATAATCTATGGTCTATCCCTCGGTCTATCATATTCTCCCTAAACCAAAGTCTTACCTGCCGGCGGTCCGGCAAAAATTTCAAAGGGCTTACTTGTATCTCTCCATCTCCGTCAACAAGATCTGTTTCACAGACACAGCAAGCTGCATTTCTCTTCACAAGCTCTTCGGCACAACCCTTGCACAGCCAGTGTCCACAGCTAGTCTTGGCAGGATCTCCTAAAATATTGTCGCATTTAGGACAAACGTAATCAAGAATACGACGGTCGTCGTTTAAAAGTAATAAATTTGATTTTATTTTTGTGCAAATATTCATTTATGTGAAACAGTCCAACAACAATCCCAAGCAAACAAAGTCAAAATAAAATTCAAAATGATTCGAAATTTTATGTATATAACATACGCGAGTAAATGGTGGTTTCCCAGGGATAACCCCATATGACAACTCAGCTAAGTTACGGTAATTATTAGCTAATCAGCAACTATGATTGCAGCCAATGAAACTTCAGTTGCCATAGATTCAAATTAATTTTTTCATTGATTTTATTATGTCTGGCTTTGAGAGTCCTGAGTGGTTATCAATAACCAATTAATGACCAACGACAGAATTAATATCAGGCCAGCCCCACCCTCCAAGCAGTTAATAAGATTCATGAGTGTACATTGACTGACAGTAAACTATAGTATCGTCTATTATGCAAAAAGTAATATTATAATGGGTATAGAAAAAAATCGTTACAAATAAATCAAAAAATAATGTATGAGGAGAAAGAGAAGCAGCAACCATCACAACAGATATTCACTAAAACATAATAATAGCAAGTTCACTACCATACAAAAAACACCACCACTCATAATTCTGCATGATGTACCATAATGAAGCAAAGCCAATGAATTTAAACCACAATAGGTCCAATAGTGCAACTATGTACTATGTATACAGTACTAATAATGTTGCACTAAAAGACTTATTAATTCACAGTAGATTGAAAGACGTTGGCTTCATTTCATTATAATACAACATGCAGAGTGATAAATGATCATGATTAAGTAGTAACTTTGCTAGTATTAAAGTTTAAGTGACGATCTGTAATTCATCTCACAATGCCCTTAATGAATATCGTATCATCTTCAACGAATCCACCTTGCATTAGTTCATTCATGGACACAAAACGAGGACATCCACTGGCAACATTCATGTATTTCCTAGTTCTGGCATCATCCATACGCTGAGAGAGCTGAGGTATCTTCCAGACCATAGAACCATCAAAATTACTATTCTCCATCAGGGAAAGTCAGAAATCTCTATCTTCATTCTCAGACATCTTAGTAGAGAGTGTTGTCTCTAGTTGGGCTACTTTATCTTGTAGAGTGTGTATTTGGCTGTCCTTCTTTGTTAATTCTGCTTGTATTCTTGTTATCTTTGTCATTACTAAACTCATTAGTTCGTCATCAGCTCCATGCAGCTACTCCATCTTCCAAGGATCCAAACTCATTTTCTCTAGGGTCTGGTCTATTGGTGCTGACAAGTCTCCTTGCTGCTATTGGTGAAGCAGAACAAAGTTTATTGATTCGTAGCCTCCATCACTCTCTCCTTTCTCCCTCCTGAAGACAAGATGCTAGCGATCATCAAGTGTGAGAATAGATTCCTGTTTTTGATGCAACATTCTTCTCTTGACATCTCTTCAGTTTCTTTGCACCCATGATCCTTAAGAGAACAAGTGACAATCATCTTAGGACATTGATCAATATGTGATTGGTACTACAAGGAAAGCAAATTCATGATTAATATTATTTTTCATTGATTATTTCTATGAATGTATACTTCCAAATATGGAAATAAGAAGTTCACTATTTTGCTCTAACACTCTAAAAATAGCAATTCCTATATATGGCATTACTTGAGTTATTTTTAAACAGGAAGATGAGGTTTAAACCCTAAGGCAAGTTGACACTTGACAACAAACCATCTTATTTTAATATTTCATTTTAAATAATAAATACTTACTTTACCTCCTCCTCTGTTTCCTTGCACCCATGATCTTTAAGTGGAGTTGTGACCATCACTCACAGCCACAGAGATTTGAATTAGAGACTATAAGGGAAAGAATAAATTCATAATGAAAATAGTCAACAGACAATACTGTTTAAATTTGTCTCTATATTTTGTTATCTTACCATTGAGGGGCACAATTTAAATTACTGTGCATTTACATGTATACAAGTATATACTTCAAGCAAATACCGGTACAATGTAATTGCAAAATGCATAATGTGCACATGTGCCAGGTCCAAATAAAAATAAATTAGCTCATTAACCGAGATATTGGCTGTAAGCGATGAGATTGGAGAAAGAGTTGGAGATAAGTCAGTGACATCTTCAACAGAGCCACCCTGACCTGGTCCACTGCAGAGTTGCTGTGGAAGCAAAAGGAAAAAGCAAAATCAGACAATTATAAATGCATTTACATACTGATTGTCTCATTTCAGATTCAAATGCAATTGCAGTGTAGTACATATGTTCCTAAAATTAAAAAAGGAGATTATGAATAATATAAACATCATGCCAAATAAATGTAGAAAAGTCGGAGAGGCTCTTCAATGAATTAGCCCAAAATTTATTTACTTTTGTAATCTTCAAAAATTTAAAAGCTCCCACCAATTGAACAGTATATTACAGTTTATACTAACCTCAGGCAGTGAATGGTTGAAAGAATTAGAACGTTGTATTGGGCGATTGTTTGATGGTTCACATTGTATAGGAGGACATTGACTGACATGTGACTGGTACTAATAAGAGAAAGGACTCATGATTAGGTCACGTAGTATGAATAATGTAATAAAATTATTTTGAATAAAAAGAGTAATAATTCTGTGTATGTTGTTTGGCAAAACTACAAGGTTGCTTTTAACCACAAACCTCAGATAATAAAAAAACGTCTTTACAATGAGGACACATCACTTTCTTCTCATAGGGACAGCTCTTGAGATGCTCCAATAATTCACCAATATTACCGTTCCAGTGACATCTAAGTTTAGAATGTACACATATTACAGAGATTTGATTGATCTCTTTCTGAACACGACGATCCCGAAAGAACTAAAATGAGATAAGAGAGAATGAAAATTCAGGTATATATACATAATCCATTTTAATGATTGACGTACTGGTCTTCCTTCTTCAGTAGTGAGTTCCTCTCCACAGTCTGTTCTTGGACAATATGGGGTTGCGGTTTCTCTGAAAGATAAAAACATAAAATAAGGGAGAATACTTAAATGTGTACTTTTTATCAAATATCTCTTCAGCACAACCATGGCACAGCCAATGGCCACAGCTGGTTTGAACAGCGTCTCTAAGGATCCCGTCACATTTAGGACACACGTACTTCTCTAGAATGTCCTTGTTGTTTTCTGTCAACAGATCGCTTTTCATTAGGACACGTGACATCTTGTCTTCAGAAAGAGGAAGAGCTAGCTGGCAGTCAGTGACAGTGATTCTAACTGACGTACAAAGCCAAAAGTCTAATGGATCCGGCGATTGGATCGTCAGTTGCTCGAGAAATAGGATATAGATATCCACAATTTATATGAACTTCCGGTGGCTGGCTTGGCTGCAGTAATGGTTAAAATAAAATTTTAGCTACTTCAAGAAAGTAGTGTGGGTCGTCAGGGATTCACCGGGGAAATCCCCAGGGAAAATCGGGCACATTGGAAGCATATCTATGGAGGATGCATGGTGGATGATTGATGGTCTCATCATGATGCTCATCGTATGCATGATTATGCCTTAGTCCACAATATGTATGCATGCATGTGATGTATGTAGGCGTGTCAAATACAACCCACTGAATACCGTATTAACTTTATTTCTAATTATTTCTAATTAGACGTTACACGAGCGGGAAATTTAAATTAAATTTTTGGTCAAAGATGTGAAAATACTAATATAAAAGTCATTACACAAATTATAATAAGTATTACTGATGTGCTTATGCTATATAGAAAGTTTAAACTACTTTCTAAAATATTCTTCAAGTTATAAGCATTTTAAAAACAAGCCAATTGTTGAAAAAAGCAAGAAAAAAGCGAAATTAAAAAAAATTCCAATTTTTTGGAATAATTTTAAAGAAATGACTCCAAATTTTTATTACATTTTTGATGCATATTGATACCCTTATGCTGTGTAGAAAGTTTGAGCTGATTCAAACAAATACTTATTGAGCTATGAGCATTTTTAAAATGGGACAATTTTTGAAAAATACCCAAGGCTATAAGCCCATAGTTTTTCCAAAAAATGACCCAAAAATCACCCCCAGTTTTTATTACATTTTCTGATACATAATAACGTCCTCATGCTGTGTAGCAAGTTTGAGCTAATTCCGACAAATAATTTTTGGATTACGGCCATTTTAAGAAAATGCCGAAATTCTAAAAAATACTTAAGGCTATAGCGCATCGTTTTTCCAAAAAATGGCTCCAAAATCACCCCAAATTTTTATTACATTTTCTGATGCACATTGATGTACTTATGCTGTGTAGAAAGTTTGAGCTGATTCCAACAAATATTTTTCAAGTTGCAGCCATTTTAAGAAAATGCCAAAATTCTGAAAAATACCCAAGGCTATAGCCCATGGTTTTTCCAAAAAATGGCTCCAAAATCACCCCAAATTTTTATTACATTTTCTGATGCATATTGATGTACTTATGCTGTGCAGAAAGTTTGAGCTGATTCAGACAAATATTGTTCAAGTTGCAGCCATTTTAAGAAAATGCCAAAATTCTGAAAAATACCCATATGGTGTTTTCCAAAAAATGGCTCCAAAATCACTCCAAATTTTTATTACATTTTTTGATACACATTGATGTCCTTATGTGCTACAACAATCTCTAACTCTAAACAAACACTCCATGATTAGTTATTATTTACAAACAAACAATGCACTAGCTGGAGCCTGCACCCACACAACTCAAACACACACACACACACACACATACACACTAATAAATACTCACATGTTTCAAACTCTTTGTTCAATTAAGATATTGTGCCTACAATGTTTTATTATGGTACCATATTTTGCAAGGGTACAACTTTCATCCACAAATAATAAGAAAACAAGCGAATACCAGTTGAATATGTAATCAACTTATACCCAGTCTACCAGTCACAAGTGTACACGTACACACACACACACACTCACACACACACACACACACACACACACACACACACACACACACACTCAAGGAGTCACCATTACTACATTCCTACTCCTAAATGTACTGTACTTGTTTCTATCATAGCTTAGACAGTCTGTACTCTGTTCATTCTCATCTCTCCCACCTTTCTTTTCCTACTCATGTCTCTCATCATCTCTTTTATAATCTTCTCTTTATATAAACTTCTCTTACTATCATTTGCTGTAGCTCTTAATAGCTCAAGGCATAGATTATAGTGTAAACATAATGTCCATATATACATACATTATGTGTGGACATTACACATGAATATAATACAGTTCAATAATATGTATTCAATATGCATATATACAATGTGTCATGAATGCTATACAGCTCATTTGGTTGCAATTGTGAAGTAAGATGAGTATATCTCTTCTCCTTGAGTAATATCTCTAGTAGCCATTAAAGCAACAACTCTCCTAAAAAGAAAAAAAAAGAAAGAGAGAGGGAGGGTGAGAGAAAGAGAGAGAAAGAAAGAAAGAAAGAGAGAGAAAGAAAGAAGGAGAGAGAGACAGAGAGAGAGGGAGGGACGGTGAGAGACAGAGAGAGAGGAGGGATTGGTGTCGTCAGTGTCATTTGTACTTGCTATTAGCATCTCACAGAAACTATTACACAAAAATGTCAAACATTAGCTCCTCTCTACCACCCTCGCACGCACACTCTCAACTAAATTTGGCACAAAATACCTCTCTCCGTACAATAGTACAATAACAACTCAACGATATCAATAAAATATGAATAAAAACAAAACTATGCCCAAAATTAGCACCTAATTAAACTTTACAACGAAGCACTAAATCGCAACAACTCACCTACAAATTTCTTCCTTCCTTTTAACATACTACAACCTCATGCCATACAACACACACACACACAAGAACATATCCTCGTGACATTATTATATCTTACTACAAGTTGCAAGTTGTGACGTTGAAAATTACAATTTTAGTACACAATAAGACAAAGATGTGAACTACACCTTGAAGCATCCTTGGCATCCAGGCGTGGCCCATAACAACAGTTAGGCAGTAAGTATCCATACTCATCAACCATGCTTCCTGGTACGTCCAGCTCTATGTACTCAACGTTGGGTTGTATTTCTGAAGAAAAGATCAAAGATAGGAATGGGATATTTGTCTTATTAGATTATTAGGGAGGAGGTAAAACTAGCAGCTTTGATGTGCATATGAATGGCTGGTTGATGCATAAGGCTAGCAATTGAATATAAATAAAATAAATAATAATAAATAATAATAATAATAATGATGATAATAACGCCTGATGTGGTGGGTGGCAATACTGAGATGTGATCTTGTGAATATTAGGAATGAAGGTTCGTGTGGAATGCTTATAAAAGAAGGATGACTGCTAATTCATTTGCCATAAACTGATAAAACAATATTATCCCCAATTAAGCATGTAATTGTACTGGTCATGAAATAATACTAATAATAATGATGATAATACCTCTTTAGTACATGCACGTGCATGGTAATACTAGAACTATAATTGTACCACCCAAACCTTGTTTACAACTCACTGCCTATGTACTACTAATCATATTTATTGATAGCGTGAATCACATTAACATACAATGGATATGAATCACACAATGGGCCAGCTCTAGTTGAATGATTAGTGAATACAATTTAATTCAAAACTGTCAGGAATAACAATAACAAGTGTACTGGTATACATGCAACTAAATACATAGCAAAATCAGTATATTACATACATACACTTATATAATATGTACATATGTGTATGTACTAAAAATACATTTGCACTCCTCTCCCTCTCCCCCTCTCTCTCCTGCCCTCCCCCTCTCTCTCCCTTTGTTCGTACAATAACTGCTTGTTCGTAGGAGGCACACGTACGCGTACCTCTTGATTGGTTGTTGACCAGTTGACCGATTGACAGTGGATTAAGAGGTTGAAGGGATAGCCAGGAGAGGTCACTGGTTAACTGGGAGCTTGAGTTAACATCTCTAAAAGCACAGGATCTAAAGGGGGATTAAAATACACAGCATATGGTACATAAAACACACAATTTTTCTCCAAATAAGATTAAAAATTTGGAATAACAAAACAAGTGTAATTCAGAACATGTATTGCTCCTTTTATAAGCGAGTAAAAGGTAAAGAAGCTTGTTAGTTTCACTGTAGATGGAAACGGTCTAATTCATGACCTTACCTTCCAGCCAAACTGGGTTTGAAGTATTTATCCAACAGTTATTACCAGTAATTAAAGATAGACCATTTCTGTTTGTACTCTCCATCCCTCAGGCAGCAGCAGGTGCTAAATTACCCGCCTTAATTAGTCCTCAAAAACACATGTACATGTACGTACATAAAATCAAAGAAATGACAATCATACACTTAGATTACAAAAGATTGCTCAATACACATTCCCAGTAATTGAAGTACAACATAATTACATACCAAAGCATAACACAATTCATACATATATAATATCAAGAGTACATAATATGAATACCTGTATATCAATCTCGATAAGTGGGTGTGTCTCCCATCAATATGTATTCCATCAACACAGCGTAGTATATATGAGTTATGCAACGACTGAAGTAATATTGGTTGCAATGGTAAGTAAATAGTACCTTGATATAAACAGAATATAGAGGTGATTATAATATAAGAGTATGACTAAAGCTAACCAGGGTATAAGGCGACCAGCTGACTTTCCTTCACTCTCCCTTGGTTTACAAAAACCCCAAGACCTTCAGCTTGAAGACTCGGACTCACATGTAGCGTAAAATTATTAATATCGAATAGACTCTTGACAGCTGATGAGCATAATGTTTGATATTTGAGTTGATTTGTGTCGGAGAGATTTGATTTGAATGCTAGCGGAGTGAGAGGTTTTAAGATCAACGAGAGGGTTTCCAGTTGAGGCTTTAATTGGGATAAGGCTTCAAATTGTTTTTCGATGAGAGAATGTGAATCAACTGAACGCACTAACCTTAGAAATAAAGAGAGAGAGAAAGAGGTAGAGATTTACAATCACTAATATCATAAAACCTTATTGGCTTGTATTTAATATAGGATCTACTAATAGACTATCAAAATGCGATGCAAAATGCAGTTCATTTGTGCTACCTTGTAGACCAGTTTGCAGCCACCCATGGCACAAAACGATGCTTAAAACTCTTCCACTTCATCTTCCATTATTCTCTTTTCCTTTCCCTCCACCCTCATCAAAACATATCAAAAGGAGATGAACATTCCTTCGGAAGCCACAGACAGACAAAAGGTATGTTGTGATGTCACACTTTGCTATAAAAACAGCACAAGAGTCAAGGATAATAAATCATTATACCTTGCACTTTTTCTTCCTCTCTCAGCCTCTCAAAAGACAGCTATCAAGCAGCTTGAAGTATCTCTTTCTCTCCCAAATAATGTCTGCTAAGCAAGCCCTCCTGATTACCTCCATTTTCCTCCTTTCTCTCTGCCTTGAAGGAGTTGCAGCTCAAAGAAGCAGCAAAATAATTCGAGCTAAAAGAAATGTGGTCTTAAAAGGGTTTTACTTTGTCTCTGTAGTCGAGAGTGAAGATATTAGCAGTGTCATAAAAGAACTCACTGACAAGGAAAGGAATGGATCCTTCCCCCCTGGATTCAAAATGGAGATCCATGGAAATGCAAGTGAAGTTGCTCATGGTTTCTTTGCAAGATTCTCCGAAGTTGCATTAAATGAAGTGAGTCACTGCAATCATACATGTACTAAATATTACTACCAGTATATACACCAAAGAATATATGCTTTTCAGCACTGGATTATGCATTGTTTTAGTGCAGTAACTTTAATATTCATTTTGCTGCTAAGAATAAAGCTTTGCATGTTGCTGGCTTGTTGCTCTATTGTTGACAACATTGTTTGATGCTCTCACTGGAATGCACTACCAAAATTAGTTTTACTATTAATGCAATAATAGCTAAAAATAGACATGTGTATGTCAATGAGTGAATGCATACAAGTATAAAGAGACAGTCCCTCTCTTGCCAGTGTTGTTGATTGGGCTTTCATTCAGTTTGAAGCAGCTCTCACCTTTTCAATATGCAACAATGGCTCACTGTACTTGGCGTGGTAGGTGCTAAATATATGCAAGAATGCTAGCACAAGTGCAGAGTTCAAAGAACACAGCTCTAGTCAGGCAAGTAGATAGAAAAGCTGGCTATTTGAACATGCTACTCTTGCATGCCAGGTGGCAGTTGTGAGTAGTTAAAACTCCCTTTGAAGAATTAATGATGCACATGCTTAGCAGTCAATAATGATAGTAATGTGCTTAAAGCTTGTGACCCAAACAGGAACAAGAAGTGTATACTGATAAAGTAATTTGTAGCTTCCAATATACATAATAATTAATAATTACTGCATTCATATTGATATCCAATGATTTTACACATGATGAGTCACTGGGTATTATGACATTAAGAAATAAGGGCGAGAGCTTGTTTGTTTGCAGCCTATCAATTACAAAAACAGTTCAATCTCATGATGAGCCAATAAGTCTTACATAATGAACTTAACAGTGCAGTATACCACTCCCATTTCTCTATAATCATTAGCATACTAGTATTTGTAGAGGTTTCTGCTTGCACGATTAATAATTAAAGCATCCCATTGCTAATAAATAACTGCTAATGAGCAACATGCATGTACTCCATGCTATGCTTGTAGAACAAGACTTGGCAGCCAAAAATTTTACTCACTGTACCACGAAAAATTCTTTAACACCGTTGCCAGCTGGACTACAACATTGTGACGCTGTGAGTGATGCAATGTCGTGTTCCGAATGCCTCCAGGTTGTTTTTGTTCAAACGACTGAACAACAAGTATGAGAGAAGGTGTAATGTATTTGAACACAAACTGCAGATAAGGAAACCACTGCCATGTAGCAATGTCCTTTGAGAGTTGATAAGTACATTAGGTGCATTCCGGTACTTATTACCAGCTGCTAATTGCAACGTGTAAAAGGTCACGAGACTATGATGCAGTGTTGTTGCGATGTGAATAATTATAAGAATGATAATAATAATAGGTAAAACTGTTTCCGCAACTAACTGTCTTGTGATTTTTGTCAAAATACCCAATAGGGCCAATACTATTATTTTTGGCCCAATTTTTGATTTCACTGACAAAAAGCTGCATGAGCACTATGCCAAAATTCTGTGGGAAAACTCCAAGTCCAATGTGAATTCCTTGTTGCTAGTCTCACTAGCCAGACCATTCCCCAGCCTACAGTCATTGAAGTCCACCCCAATGACTGAAGGCTGGGGAATGGTCTGGCCTGCGAGAATACCTTGTTGCTGCATGTAGATTTTGAAAATACTTTATCATTGTTCTGTATTTTTTAATTATAGATAACAAAGAATGATAAAGTTGAGTCCATCTTTGAAGATCATATCATGAAAGGTGGGAGCGCTCTGCCTTCTCCAGGAGAAGAAGCAACAAACGTAACCACATCAGCAGCTGCTAATTCATCAACTCCTTTCACTCGAATCGTCACAACGTGGGGTCTAGATCGATTGGATCAAGATAGCATCAGATATGATCACCACTATACTACCCCGTGTGGTTTGACTGGAAAGGGTGTAGATGTATACGTACTTGACTCAGGTATATTTTACGAACATAAGGAGTTCCAGGGACGTGCTTCAAGCCCGGGATGTGACCCCATTGACCAAATATTCAACACTAGCAAGAATGGAGCCGATTTCACCGGACATGGGACTCACGTTGCTGGAACTGTCGGAGGGAAGAAATTTGGAGTAGCACCTGGAGTGAATCTGTTTAGTGTGAGAGTCCTTGATACTCAGAACTCAGGATCGGCTAATAGTCTAGTACTGGGGGCAGAGTGTGTCGTAAAATCAGTCGAAAGAAGAAAACGTCCTTCAATAGTTAATCTATCGATATATGGAGACAAGAACCTCCTAGTGAAGAGAGCACTAGATACCCTAATGAGAAAAGGGATAACAGTCATTGGTATTGCTGGGAATAGTAAAACGAAACCTAAAAACTCCTGCAAGGTTGGTCCAGGCTCAATACAAGGTATCATCACTGCTTCTGCCAGCACTAAAAGTGATGAGCCCCTCATGTACTCTAATGCTGGTACTTGTGTTGATCTTTATGCTCCTGGAGCAGAAATACTCAGTGCCTCGACTAATTGCAAGAACTGCCGCTCGACTAGACAAGGTTCTTCAATGGCTGCCCCTCATGTTACTGGAGCTGTTGCTCTTCTTCTTGAGAAGTGTCCTACTATGAAGCCATGGAGAGTGAAGTATATTCTGAGGTCACAAATGACTAAAGAAAATAAATTGAATTTTTCAAGAATGCCGAGAATTTATCAGTCAATGACACCAAATTTGCTGTTACATACTTCTTCACTTCAGTGTGACTTGGAATGTTAAGAATTTGATTTGTATAAAAATCATCATAATTATAAAAATAATATAAGTGACATTTTGTATCATATGATTAATTGTTCTATTTCAATGAAAAATTTAAATAACTAAAAAAATTTTTAAATAACTAAAAAATAATTATAATAACTATGAATAAAAAACTGTATAAAAAATGAATTTTAATGAGAGGTAGAGCACCCATTGCTACAATTAAAAATAATGAAAGGTGTACATGTGTAATGTGTATTAAGTGGCCTCAATAAATTGTTATTCAAAAAACTAAAGCAAAAATAGACTAGACATTATACAAGTATAATACGATCATAGAAAATATAATTCTAAGAAAATAGCAAATATGAAAAATTATATTTAAATTCAGAGGAGAGAGCGAAGCAGGTGCAGATAGTAGACATCACTACAATATAATAATAGCAAGTTCACTATTATGATAACAAAATCGTCACTCATAATTCTGCATGTTGTACTATAATGAAACAAAGCCAATGAAGTCTACAATAGGTCCAATAGTGCAACTATGTGCATCATCACAATGCACAGTACTGTATGTAACTGATGCACCAAAATGACTTATTAATCCACTGTAGATTGGCTTCATTTCATTATAATACAACATGCAGAGTGATAAATGATTATTAAGTGATTATAACAGTAAATTTGCTAGTAGTATAGTTGGAGTGATTATGTAGTTTGAAGCAATCAAGCACCTGTTCTTCTTTCCTAATGCCGTCATGGATGACGCATGGTAGCAGTATCTACTTTGACCTTTATGAATATTGTATCATCAACAATGAATCCACCTTGCATTAGTTCATTCATGGACACAAAACGAGGACATCCACTGGCAACATTCATGTCTGATTTTGGCTTCTGGAATGAAGAGCTGAGTGGATCAGGTTGGAATATGTCCATGATGTCACGAGCACCGCACTGGTTGATTAGCTTGAAGGTCACCTTGTGTGTAAATGGCCACTGGAGTATGTTATCAAACTCTCCTTTCATGACAACAAAGAACAAAGACATATGAGTGCCCTTTCCAATACCATCCCCCAGGATGTAGAGGCGAAGACACATCTTGTAACCATAGCGACTGGAATAGAACGGAAGAGAAAAGATTGAAGTGTATTTTCCTGTTCTAGCATCATCCATACGCTGAGAGAACTGAGGTATCTTCCAGACCATAGAACCATCAAAATTACTGTTTTCCATCAGGGAAAGTCGGAAATCTCTATCTTCATTCTCAGACATCTTGGTAGAGAGTGTTGTCTCCAGTTGGGCTACCTTATCCTGTAGAGTGTGTATTTGGCTGTCCTTCTTTGTTAATTCTGCTTGCATTCCTGTTATCTTTGTCATTGCTAAACTCATCAGTTTATCATCAACTCTTCCTCCTCCAATCTCTCCATATCCTCCTCCTCCTACTGCTCCAGCTACATGTAAACTGTCTTCCAAGAATCCAAACTCATTTCCTCTAGGATCTGGTCCATCAGTGCTGACGTTTCTCCTTGCTACTGTTGGTGAAGCAGAACGAACTTTAGATATGGACTCATAACCTCCATCACTCTCAACACAATTTCTCCTTTCTCCCTCCTGAGTATCATTAGAACTTGTTGGTACTATTGAAGACAAGATGTCAGCAATCATCAACATGTGAGAATAGATTCCTGCTTTTGATGAAACATGCTCAATACATTCTTCTCTTGACATCTCCTCTGTCTCCTTGCACCCATGGTCCTTAAGAGGGCAAGCGACAGTCATCTTAGGACATTGATTAACATGTGATTGGTACTAAAAGGAAAGTGAATTCATTGATTAATGTTATGCTTCATTGATTATTGTTATGAATAATAGTTATTCCAAATAAGGAAATAAGAAGCCAGCAATGCATGGCTAAATAGTCTAAAAATAGCAATTTCTATGTATGGCAATACTTAGTTATTTTTGAACTACTACAGGATGTAGCCCATAAGCGTAGACGTAGGCTCAGGCTGTAACCGCTATATTTAAACCCTGAACATGATCAACTCACTTCCAATGGAGAGAATGCTTGATTACAATGCTTGCATTCAGTCTTGTTATGCTCACAGTTCCCAAGATGGTTACCAAGTTCACCCAGCTTGCCTTCCCAGCTGCAACCAAACTTGCGATTGATACATGAGACTACAAAACGACCAATCTCCTTCCTAACAAATCTATCAGGAAAAAACTGAGATAAAGAGAACAATAAGTTTCAGTAGCCACTTTATTAGTAAGACATACTGGTTTTCCTTCTTCTGCTGTAAGTTCTTCTCCACAATCCGTTCTAGGACAATAAGGCATTCCTTCCCTAAAAATAATTAAAATAATAATAAAGATAAATCTACGTAAATAATCAAAATCATCGTCTTACATTTTCTTAAAAATTTCAACGGCACAATCATGACACAACCAGTGCCCACAGCTAGTTTGTACTGCGTCTGTTAGTATGTGTTCGCATTTGGGGCACTCATATTTTTCTAATTGTTCCTTGTTGTTCTCCGCCAAGTGGTTTGCCTTTATTTTTATGCATGTAGTAGCCATTTCTTTTTTTCAGCCTATATATAGATCTCGGTCTATATTCCTCCAATATTAAGGAATAAGGAGGAAAGGACTACGACAGCTGGAACAAAGCTTCTTTTATACTCACACTCAGCCCACTGATAGTTGAGCCCAGTGCTGATGCTGCAGTGCAATTATGATGACAAAGACGATGAATAACAATGACGCTCAGTAGTCAGCTTGGCAATTTGGCATCGTCAGACAGCCAATGGGCTTGCAGCACGGGTCAGGTCTCGTGATGTCGCGAACATTCCCTAGGAAATTCCCGGGGAAATCCCCACTCTGTACTGTCATTATGTAAACAGTGAACAACCGCACACAAGCATCTATGCCACCTCCATGCACTTTATCCAAAACAGTTTTTATCCAAAACAGTTTTTCTTCAAAAAATACTCATGAAAACCTTAAACTGTCTATAAAGGAAAATTATAAGTGTTTGAAAATTTAAAAAACGGCTGCCATCTTGAAAAACCAACCTCAATCCTACATATAGGCTACCGCCTATATAATAGGCAACTTTTTTACAGCTTCACTGCTTTAGTTACATCAAAATTAGTAAGTCATAGTGCAGTTCCAGAGCCAGCAATTATGAGCCACAACTCCACAAGTAAACATATTATTGTTATCATAGCATTGTTTGATTTGTTTCCGCTTATTTCAAACAATAATACAGACATTAAGATTTAGGACTATACAGAAATTAGACTATAATGACATAAACACAGGCATACCTTTAATAAATGCAATTTAAAATGTTTAAACTGGCTACAGTTCAGTTCAGCACATGATTTTTGAAAATAATAAAGGCAGAAATTCAGCTAAAAGAACCAGTGTAAACATTTACATCTCTACATGCAATATCAAAAGCTCCTCGTTAAATAGTATTGCATTGTCGTTGTGTACAGCGCTATAGTTGCACTGTCATTGTTACAATGAACTGCAAACTATTGCACCATGTTAGGCATACTGTTATATTATACAGCCTTATCAGCACAGCCATTGTGATAATGAGATCATATTCATTAATGATACTATGCACATTGCAGCTAACTCAGCAACTCAGTAAAATGACAACAGGGATTATCCCTTATTAGGCAATACCGCGTAATAGTGACACAGTTTATATACATGTACATAGAGTCACGTGAGTAAAGTTTATTTTACTATGAATTAGCCATATAAGGTAATAGTGACACAGTTTATATACTGTATATATGTACATAGAGTCATATGAGTAAAGTTTATTTTACTATGAATTAGCCACTATCAGGGCACATATCACTAAACACACCTTTTAAGGTAGTTATTTGATATACATGTATCAGTGCTCTTCAGGACGAATTAAGAGAAGTACTTGGGGCTACATTGTCACACAAAAATCCACTTGCACTCATAAACTAACCATATAGCACCTTCATTCGTAGAGAAAAACTTCTCGAAAATTTAGCGTACAACCGCAAAATTAAAGGCTGCTTTTTATCTTTACTAATCTACATGTATAAAACTAAAGTTCTAAACAGCATTTCAGCAATGAGAGGACACATGTTGGTGACAGTTGCTTACAATTGAAAACACAACACAATCCTAATGTACTCATTATAGAGTATTATAATAAAACCCTTAATAATAGATACTAATAATAATAATAATAATAATAATAATAATAATAATAATAATAATAATAATAGTCAAACAGTAATAATTGGAATAATAACTGAGTTTTAAATTTAAATCCCTCTCTCTCTCTCTCTTGGCTAATGTTCAACTAATGTCTCTAACTGTAGAGGTCATCCTCATCATTACCGGCTGCTCCATGGAAGCCACCAGGTTGAGGAGTAGCTCCTCCTCCTCCTCCAGCACCTCCTGAGGACTGAGGCTGGCTCTGTGGGAACCTGGAACAAGATGAAAAAAGGAAAACAAGAGAAGATCAAGTGCTCATGATCATAAAATTTTAATAACCAGTGACTGAATACAAGTTTAAATGTACTATGTATTATATGCAATATTTATAAAGTTTCTACATTCTAAAAGCAGGATGAGAAATAGTTATGTTACTACATCTCATGAATATAGTTAATTTCATGTAATATTCATGAAGTTTCTACATTCTAAAAGCAATGGGTGGTGGCCATGAGAATAGTTATGATACTCATCTCATGAATATGGTTAATGACCAATAAGAGAACACCTGGGATAAACCCACTACAACGATAAATAAGATTAAACTATAGATATAGTAGGCACACCTTATTAGTCAGGTGGGCCTAGGTGAAAACATAAGGTAGTAGAAAGGGGGTGGACTAATGTATAGACACAACCCAGACAGATTGACAAATTTACAAATCAAAGCACTAATGTACTACAAAATCTCATGTGATTCACAACAAGGGGCAACAGCCAACTAGGCACAGATGATGAAATGCTGAACTAGCTCAAGTGATCTCAAGGTTTTATGTAATGCAACATAAGATAAACAGCAGCTGTGTTACCTGAATTGCCCGAAGCCACGTGTAGTCTGAAGCTTCTGAGCAAAAGCTTCATACTTCCTAATATCATTATCAGTGACACTGCGTCTTGCAAACTTCATTGCTTCTTCAAAATGATCTTTCCTAATCTCAGGAACTGCATCTTCTTCCATTTCCTATAGAAGAGAAGGCGTGGCTTAGAGACGTAAGTAGAAGGTGTGGCTTACAATTTCATGACTAGGATTATCCCTCATTTCTCTCTCTCTCCTGATCTCAGCTTCAATACTCTCACGTATAGCCAGTTTACAAGCCTGGGGAGAGAGAATAGTGTGTTTATACATGTATCTTTATTAAGTCAAAATCACTATACATGTAGTCAGTTAGTCATTAGGTGTCAAAGACACAAACATCTTATAAAAGGTGGTGAAGACATGCACAACTGAGCAAATTAGGATGTGTATACCCGTATCTAGGAAGGGACTAAAGCATTGCTGAATTAGCAAACATGCCAGCAAGTTGTAAACAAAAATATATAAATGCACAAAAGACTATACACACAATAAGTATATTCATGGGAACAAAGACATTCACAAAATGCATGTGTACGCAAGTAAACAATGAATGAATCCTATTATCTTGTTATTCAACTACATGTACACGTAGCATTATTATTAATTTTATTTTATTTATTTACTCGTTGGCATATTTCTGTCAGATCGGCTCCACTGAAACCCTCAGTCTTCTTTGCCAAAAATTCTAAATCAATGTCCTGTGGAAGTGGGTGGGGTTAAAACAAACCACACCCATTTAACGAGATTACCTGAGCAATTGGAGACTTGCGGAGATTGGCCTTTAGAATAGATACCCTCGACTATAATAAAAATAAAATTATAAATTAAATAAATTTATGGGTGGGGTCCACTATAAATTAATAACAATAATTAATAATAATAAATTAATTAATAATTATAATAATGAATTAATAATAATATTATTAATTACTTTTTCGTCAGGCAGTGGTATATAAATAAGTTGGTCAAGTCTTCCTGGACGGAGAATGGCAGGATCAATGATATCAGGACGATTGGTAGCTCCAATAATGAAGACGTTCTTCTTAGAGTTCATACCATCCATCTCTGTTAGTACCTGATTAATAACACGATCAGCAGCTCCACCTACAGGGGAAGGAGAGGGAGGAAGAGGGAGATAAACCAATTAAATTTAGCTGACATAGTGTGCTTTATATGTATTCAATAATAATATACATAATCCATAAAAGTTGAACCATTAAACCAAATTGTCAGGCAGCTTCACACACAGTCACACACAGATGTAAACAGCATCTTAATAAGTAAAGTACATTGTATTTGTAGCACAGTATAGATCTACATAATTATTATAATAATAGATGTACATGTACTTTCCATATATATACAACTGTATATCATTCATAATACAAAAAGGGTATTCAGCCACACAAAAGGAGAAAGACATCTATCAATAAGGACATGAACAATGTAACAAGAACAGCTGACTCCTACTCTATTCATGTATGTATACATTGTGTATTCTCAAATTTCTCCCTTTGTCTCCCTCTATCACTCTCCCTCCTTCTCTTTGTCCTTCTATCTCAAAATTTCTCTCTCCCTCTCTCTCTCTATTACCAAGAGTAAGCTATTACTTCATGTACATGCAGAGTAGATTCCCTGTTTGTCAATAAAAGGATGTACATGACTACTCAGCAACAACAACAACAACAACAACAACAACAACATGTGTATACATGTGTTCTTTGACATGTGTAGATTGTGTATATCTATAGCTCCTTTACACTATGCCTTCAAAGCAGTTTGAAACCGGTTTAGAAATAAACCAGTTGTACATGTGGACAATTTCAAAGCGGTTTGAACCGACTTACATGTACATGTACATGTATCTAAACATAAACATAAACATTACATCACATAAACATTACATAAACCACCTCAGTAGGTGGTTTGAGAATCAAACCGGTTTAAGTACTAGGGCAGCTGTATTATGTATACAACTGTATTATTCAACTACAATTAAGCTGGTTTCTGAACCACAACCGGTTTGTAGTGTAAACAGGGTTTATGTCCTCCCATTTTGTCTTTCTACCTCCATCTCCAACATTTCCACCACGAGACTTAGCAATTGAGTCTAATTCATCAAAGAATAGAACACAGGGGGCAGCTTGACGAGCTTTATCAAAAACATCTCTAACATTAGCCTCCGACTCTCCAAACCACATAGTCAATAATTCAGGACCCTATGAAGGGGGGAAAGTATGATGACTGAAAGCTAACTTTTGTACTATAACATGTACATGTACATGTATTTACGTGCACACTACATAAACAAAAATCTCAGAAATGCTTTTTAGAGTAGCAATTTGGTAGCTTTCATTCAAAAATATGTTGCAGTATGCGGTAGTGAGTATTGCGGTAATGACCCAATTATTAATAAATTACAGCTGGAATACAAAAACAAGCTGAGAAAGCAGACTGAACAGCTGCACAGGTAAACAATCAATTTGTAATAATTCAAATATTTTACCACTCCATTAACTTAAAAAGTACCGTATAGCGGAAGATTTTGCGTTTTTTTTCAAAAAATTCACGAAAATAAGATCCACAAAAATTGATTCAATATGGTTCAAGATGGCCAAAAGTAGAAAACCACAAAAATTAAAACCACAAAATTGATTTTTGAACGGATCTGCAAAATTTTTGGGCCACAACAATTTTTTGCTATACGGTATCAAAGTTACATGTACATGTACATGTATTCCCCTATCTTCCCTCCTTTACACTGTACCTTTATTGATATGAAGTTTGCTTGGCATTCATTGGCAATGGCTTTAGCTAGTAAAGTCTTACCACACCCAGGGGGACCATAGAAGAGAACACCTTTACTGGGGGTCATGCCAAACTGGAGGAACTTCTCTGGATGTTCTACAGGGTACTGAGAGAGAGAGAGAGGAGGGGTAAAGAGGGAGAGAGAGAGAGAGGGGGGGGGGGAGAGGGAGGAAGAAGGGGAAAGAGAAAGTAAAGGTACAGGAGAGGGTAAGTACAGGAAACAGTTCATCAAAGCTATGATGACATACAGAATGAGATCACAAAAACCACAATAACAAGGGAAATAGTAAATTATTACGAATGATGAAAGGGTTATTATGTAAATCTACATTCACTATAAATGTATGTGTACATGTACATGTACCATACCTGAACAAGTTCTTGTAACTCTCTCTTCACTTCGTCCAGTCCACCAACGTCATTCCAAGTGACCGTCGGTACCTCAACCACGGTCTCACGCAGCGCACTGGGGTTACTCTTGCTCATGGCGTACTAGTGGGTGTGGCTAATAAAGATCATGTGATTATCATGTGACATACCCTAAAGTCCTCCATAGTGACTGCTAGTGAGTCCATCACTTCAGCATCAATGGTGTCATCTTCAAGATCAATGAGATCCATTTTCTCTCTTATCTACATCAAAGAACCATACAGTACAACAAGTAAATACATGTACATGAACTAGAAGAA